AGTTCTCACTATCAGCAGATGGATGTTATGGCCTTGAATTAAAGCTACTGTCACACAGTCCTGTGGTTGGTCTGCTTTGCTTTCATACCACAAACAAAAACCCGCCGCAGACTCGGCCCGGAAGCTAAACAGCAGCACCGACCGCAGCGGACCGAGACCACCTTGAGAAGGAGGGTCTCGGAGCGGGTTGTTAAGACCGCACCCGAGTTTTTTTTACTGACAGCTTTCATGCCAAACAAATTGTACATTAGCTTTCTTGCATTGTTAAAATCTTTTTGCATTGTTGATTAATATTCTGTGTATTCACCTTGTTAATGCTCAGCTGAGAGCATATTTTTTTTGTGTTGTACTTTATCTGCTTAGGTTCACTCATTAAAAATGTCTGATGTTCTGCGTATGTGTGCATTGGTAGTTTTACGAGGATTACATTTATACATCACCGGGGGCTAACGATTCTGAATGGCAACTGGTCCGCTGGAAAATTCTCCCAAGTCCTGAAATAAATATAATTCAATAGTTTGATTGAACAGCTTCATTTCCTTTGATGTCTCCTTCTACTGTCTGAGACTAAACTAACTCACTCACTGACTCGAGTGACTCACAAATGAGATGAAATTCTTACAGTCAAACGGAGCAATTTTAACATATTAATGCAAATTTTTTCAACGCACGTTTTAGGCAAAAAGTGAAAACAGACTAACTGGAAATGTCTCTGCATTAATAAAACGTCACTAGTGTGCAGCTCCCAAGTTTCTATTTTCTTTTTATGTGCTATAAGACCGTTAAATGTACCACCTCCCACTGGATGAAACACTAGGATATAGATATCCATTTAGTCTACAAACCTGCTCTGGAATGCTCTCTCCTGTCTCCCCGTCCACTGGCTGCTCCCCTTGTAAGTTCACTCCATTTCTCCAGCTCTCTTGTTCCTCATTCCCGTCTTTGTTTTCCTGTGGGCTGGGCTTCTCCTCCTCACTCTCCTTCTGACGGTTGCTGTAGTTGAACACTTCTCTTCCCGCACCGAGGTCGATGTCCTGTCGCCATAGGATGTCAATCAAGTCAATGTCCTGGAAAAACATATAGCAACCATTGAGAAATGGCCCTGTGCAGAGAGAAGTTACTTTAATAACCAGGTATTGTGCAGGCATTGAAATCTAACTCACACTGTACAAAAGGTACAAATGAAACCCAATATATCAAGGTTTTTTTTTATGATTTAAGTGATGTATTATTATTATTATTTGTGATAAACTAGTACCATTCATCTTTTTTACGTAAGGATAATTTTGGTAGGAGTGGGAGATCATGTAACAGAAATGTAGTCAGATGATGGAACCATGACATAAACACTTAGGCATGGTGGTTATCATGTGATCAGAAAGAAGTCTTGGTTCATTAGGGTCAAACAATGACTTTGTGTCACCCCGAACTCCACTGCATCAATATGGACATTATGTGCAGGGTTGTTGTTTTCTTCAAGTAACTACAATTATAAATTAAGAAAACTAGGCCCGAACAAAAGTTAACTATCACACATAGAAATGTTGTTAAAAAGTAACAAACAAATGTTTTTATTGGTTTGTTTAGTGCTGTTTTAAGAGAACAACAATACAACAACATTAAATGGTGACCAGGATCACAGCCGTAATGAATGTGACTCAACTGGTTTGACTAAAAATATCTGACACTGACAACAGACCAGTGCTGTGGTCCATGAGTGTTAATGGTAAACTATGTTTTTACTTTTTGGAATACAGCTTATGTGTTTTCAAGCTGCCATACCCCAAATATTTATGAAACTGATAGTGACTCTTAAAATAGATAGGGCTGATTGATTAAGTTGTCTTTCAAGGGTACAAAATGAATAATAATAAATGTTTTTCTGAATATATAGTTTATTTTTGTGGGTAATGATGATTGCTACTTGGCAGATTAGTTTACCACTATACTCTAATCAAATCTAATATTTAATGGGTTTATCTGGGCCGAAGTACATGATTAAATCCTACTTGCCCCATGGTGAATGTGTGGACAACAAGCAACTGTCAAAAGGAGGTGTTTGTCCCCTTCTTTTGACAGTTGCTCCCCAGGTGTTGAGAGTGAAGGCAGAAAAAAGGCTGCAGTACCTCTTTGGTGAGGTCGTCATTGCCATCCCTGCTGCCCTGTTCCTGGTTGCCCTCTGGGGCCACAGCTCCCAGGCTGCTGTCTGCTGCGTTCAGGTTGTACGTGGATTCAGGTGCTCCGCTTCCTCCCCTCATGGCCGGGGTAGCGTCAGGGTTGTTAACGTCCTCTAGGCCGGCCCCATTGTCCAGGGTGATGCTGGGGCTGGACTGGCTGCTGGTGGATACCACAGTCTCAGAGTCACGATGCACTAGCCAGGTGTTGAGCTCGGTACTGGGCACGGAGAGGCGATCCAGTTGGCGCACCTGGTTCAGCAGCCGCCGAGTCGTGAAGAAATGGTCGAGGTCCACACTCTTTGGATGGATGCCATAGCCGTCCAGCGTGTTGCGCAGGTTGTGAAACTGTGTCTGGGTGTAGGCCGAGCTAGGGCCCAGGATGATCTCTCTCAGTGGGGGCAGCTGATTGCTTAGATAGGTGTCAACGTCCACCCGCACCCCAATGAGACTCAGAAGGATGGTGAACTGAATCAGGCCCTCTGTGAAGTACTTTTTCAGGTAAAGCATTTCTTTACAAAGGAACAAAAGGTGAAAGTAAAAAATAAAAACAAAAATGGGGCCAGCTACCTCGGATCAATACTTCTGCACTTGTATACATGAACATAAAAAGTGGTTAAAGATAGTGGGAGGGGGAGGGCGGGAAAGGGTCTTCAACAGGATTCTGTATGTTTAAAAGGCATATAAGATCCAAGATGGGGGGGTTCCACTCTGAGAGAGTCCAGTTTGTGCTCAAAGCTTTGTTCTTCATCAGGTTCTCATCTTCCCATTCCTGACAAAAAAAGTGAGAAATTACATTTTATTGCTCCATTTCAAACTGCATTACTTCAACATTACAAACCACACTGCTTCCAGCCCTAAGACACACGAGTCTTACCTTTCCTACATTTGCATTAAGCACATGTTAATAGGGGGGGAGGTAAAGAAGGACTTGCTAGCCCACTGCAACCACTCCAAAGACTAGCAATGCCTTCTCCTCCTTGGATCCTCCAGCAGAGCAGAGCAGCAGAGATGATGAACACATCACCCCACCCTTCACAGGACAACTACTTCTCGTGGCTGCCGCTGAAGGTGAATGGGAGAGTCGAGAAGAGCTCGCTGGGCTGACTAGCACACGCACCAGACAACGTTAGGTGGCAGGCAGGGTCCCTCCCTCCCTCCTCCTTCCTCCTCCTCCTCCTCCTCCTCCTGCACAGCTGCGCCTATCTTCGTCCTTATGACGTTAGCTGTTAGCTACCTGGTGTTTTTAGACCCGGCTGCCGCTGTTACACCTGTGTAATCGCTTTGTTACGCAACATAAAGTGGCAGTGATAGTACGTGTCGCTGCGTTAGTTCGTTAGCTTGCATCTCTGTTTACCCCAAAAAGTGACAGGCGCCCCTCTAGTTGTATTTTTAGGACTACCTACTTCCGCCGTGGCTAGCATCAAACAATCTCCCTAGCAACAAGTGGTGAAAACATGAGCGACACATTCCGCAGCCAATCGCGGGCCTCAAGGGCGGTGACGACACATGACTCCAGCGGCTCCCGGCCAATAGCAATAAGGCGTGGGCGGGGCTTACAGAAAACGCCGCGGTCCTATTGGCGCTCAAAGCCAAGCCTACGCTGCGCTAGCCTTGGAAGCTAGTCCGCCGCTAACTATCGTAACCATCCAAACTACTTTTGAAAAGTAACTTTAAAAAAAAAAAAAAAGAGTAAACACACGCAAACCCGCAAAAAAAACCCCCGCAACAATTCCCCCCTCCCCCCATAAACGCCACGCATCCACCCGCGTGTGCGCCAGCGTTAGCCCCCCGTGCTAGCGCGCGTGTGTTCGCCTCTACGTGTTATTAGTTAACATTTAAATACTCACGCGTGAAGGTTTCGCAACTGTGTCTCCGTAGCCCCCCCCGAAAAAGTCCGCTCACACGACCACAGCAGGCGAGTCCCGGTTCATTAACAGTCCCAGAGTGGCGCCCGGTGTAGCATTCCCCAGCCTTTGCTCGTTGAACGGCCCACCATGACTTGCAAAAACTGCTAGCTGGCCCGGCTAGCCTAGCAGCAGCGCCGCTTGACACCAAAACACGCTTTCGCACAGCGCATGCGTAGAACATTCTAGTGGCAAAGCTTTCATCACCCGACTGTGAGTTTTATATTACAGTTCCCCCCCCCCACACACACACACCATCAATAAAGTCACTTTGTTTTGTTTTTTTAAAAGATTAGATTTCAGATTTAGTTTTTTTTTTATTATAAAGAAATTAATAATAGGATAGAGCCTTGTTTACAGCAAGTCTCAGAAATAGTTACTATATGGATTGATTGATTGATTGGTTTAAATCTGCAGGAAATATTGGAGGGTTATTTTCAAACAATGCATGTAATTACGTTAGAAGCCAAGAAAGTTGTTTTAAAACTGTGAGAAATCAATTTGTTCGTTTTATTTTTGTCCAATACATTTTTCTAAATCGTTCCGATATTTTATTAATTACTGAATTTGGAGATTACATTTAAATTTTAAAGATCTTTAACAATAAGAAATGTTTATGTGAGTAAGTATGCCTCATATGCCCTTTAGTGTTATCCACCCTTTAAATGTATTGGTATTTTATCTCTTTATTTATTTAATATACAATAGTATAGGTACTTTATATGTTTTATGTACAATAATAACTCTTTATACTGTATGTATCTTACAAAAAGAGATAATATTAAATAAAATAAAATGATCTATGTAGTAAAAAAACAAGTTTAACCAAGCATACAGTATAGTGGATTATATGACATTTCTAAAAAGTCAAATGTTTCTTACCTAATGTAAATAAAGAAAATGTCAAACACACAAGATCTACAATTAAATACCACTTTTATTTCTCCAAGTAGATCATGATTACAAAATATTTTTTAGTTAACTTCTGTGAAGTTATAGGTTATATATTAACCCCCATTATGTTGACGGGCCTTTTGTGGTATTTCTTTGAAATGTCAGCTTCAATCTGCAAAAACAAAGCACAATTAACAATCAGAATTACTGGCAATAATCCGTCATTATTACTACTTTTATTATTACTAAGGTAATTAAAAAGTGTAATATTATATTGCTTTCAATAGATCTGCAATGCTATGCTATGTTTACTGTCTTCTAAAAGGGCTACAATGCTACAGAGCTGTCTCTTTTGTAGTGAGCTGGAAAAGTGCCAACTCTGTGCACATAAATAAATGGAAATAGTAATCCAATACCAGTTTCTGGAGTTCCCGGGTGCATCCTGCCAGCAGGTCAACACGAGGCTCCAGTCTGGACTGCTCCTCTAGGGCTTCCTGCCTTTTCTCAGCCATTGTGGCACCTTTCAGTACCAGAATGTCCGCCTGCTTCAGCTTCTGTCTCAGCACCTCTGACACACGTTCAACATACCTAAACAACACAGGAAAAAAATTATCATAACATTTCTGAAGGAAAGCAAAAGGGTTTATATGCTAATAATCATCTCTTTTCCCCCTAACATCTATGCCAGATGTCTGTATCGTTGCTCAAGTTAAATCAGATTCTGTGGAATGACAAATATGTAAAAAATAATGACAAGATTTATGCTGAGTGAAGGTGATACTATGAGGATCAGTTATGGCAGCATACCGCGGCGAGGCCTGGATCATAAACAGGTGCTGCATCCGGAGAGAGGTGAGCCGGCCCAGAAGGTCCTGCACCTCTGACAGCATCTCCCGAATATGTTCACGGGATTGGCCTTGGATGACGGAGGGGGCCAGCTGGAACTGGCTCATAGCTACCACATCTCCCTCCTCTCCCATCTCACTCACGCGCTGCATTAGGAACACTTCCAGCTGTACAAACACATGAAACCAGTGTCACTTGTTCGGGGGTTAAATCTGATAGATGATCTAATGTATCACCCTATATGCCGTCCAATTAATAATGGCATACCACAGGAAACACGGAGGCCCCTCCTTCAACCAACCTTGTACCCCACAACATACCTTTTTCACAGCTGCCAGTTGGTTGTGAAATAGTAGAGTAAACACAAGTGTTTAATGATACTAATTAAAGGTCTGTTCTAGTGAGTCTATTGGTAACAGCTGTGTTTAACCTACTATTTAATGTCAAAATAGCTGCTGTGAAAAGGTCCATTATTCACTTCCATTCAGTCTGATTATTTGGGACTGTCAATTTATCTGCTAATCCCTTCAAATTAAAACAAATACTGAGAATAAAGTGCACTGAATTATTTCCTGGGTGTATAAATGTACGTTTATGTATATAAATAACTGTATATATTGTTTTGTTTTATTGGTTTTCTATGTTATTCTATGAATTTAATTATCTTTTTCTATGTCTGTAGCATGAAGGAACTTTATTTTGTTATACAACCTTATGTTATATAATAATAATAATAATAATAAGTACATTTCCTTGATTCATTGATTTATGTATGCCCATATCGTACATTATTCCATTTAGTGTTCATCATAAGCTGCAAGAACACACCTTCATACACTTTATATATAAGAATATTCTCATTTTAACTATTAAATCCATTAATTAATAATTCAATTGATCAGCAAAATTTATCAAGAAAAAAAAATGGGTTAGGGTTAGGGAAAGGTAAGGATTTACTATTTTCCTGTGCTCTTTGTAGCAATTTAAAGACCCTGGACAAATATTAAATAGATTAATTGATAATAAGAATTATTACTACTTGCAACCATGTTTACACTTACACACAAAGGTCAGGTGGATGCACGGGCTTACACATGTAATTTGACACCAGTAGATTGTAGTCTTTACCTCCATTAGCTCATCGATGAACTGGCTGCGTGACTGAGAGTTCTCCAGTATACTTAAAGCATCCTCACCCTTCGCCACACCCTCGGGACCTACAAGAGGACACACGTCTTCAGCAAAACAGACATTTCAACAGCTGAGGGGTGTAATAATCTGCTGAGCAACAATTTGAGATTCATAAAAAAGAAGAGTAGTTACAGTCTGTGCCGGCATCTACGATTTCAATTTCAATTGGAGCTGCTTCACTGTCGCCCCAGTCAATACCCCCAGCACCAGAGTCCTGTTGAGGGAGACAGACAGAAGTTGGTATATCAATTGTTCATTACTTTTAGCTACTGTACACATTATAACTGTTATCAATAACTTTTAGTTAACAATTTAAGCTTTTTATTCATTACTTTTCGCCAAATACTTCATAATTTCAACTGTTTATTGAATACCGTTACCTATTTCACCATTTTTCTATTACTTTTAGCAAATGTTTCAATTGTTTATGCATTACTTCTAACAATCTATTTCAACCATTAACACAGTACTTTTTTTTTTAACTTTTCTTTTTAAATACATTTTTTTTTTTTAGCTTGTTCTTAATTTATTTAAATATATAAGGTGAGTAAACACAAACTGTACATAAAAATAAAAATGCAGATGTGTTCAGGAGTCTTACCTCAGAGCCCGGCTCCAGACTGATACCCCAGTCTGCTCCATCCTCAACTGTGATGACAGGTTCCTGGCTATTTGCCCCTTCGCCAAAGTTACCCCAGTCAATCTAAAGCAGGTTTTTAATAGAAAAAAATCAGTTGTGAATTGTATCTATTTGACCCACAGTGGCATTTGTTGATTATCACACAGTTACACAGAGCTGCAGCATGAGTTCTGGGGCTGGATTACATCATTTTTAAAACACTTTAATGTCAGTTTAGTAACCGTGATGATGTGAATTAGGTCTGATTTGAATAACGGCCCTGTGTAACACAAATAAAATGGACAAGTAGAATTTATTAATAAATATTATATGACTGATTATGAGTAATACATAATACAGAGACAGAAAAACCAACCGTATCTTCTGTGACTGCATCAGGAGGAGCGTCCTCCACAAATGGCCTCTCAATAACTGTCGGGACTTTCCCCGTTCTCCACTCGTAGAACGTCGCGTTTCCTCTCTTCTGGACAAACGTCAGCATGGGCAGGACAGGTTCAGACCTACACATAACAACATGTGAGCTTATAGTTAGTGGCAGACTCATTTTATATCGGGCTGAGCTGCACCGTGTAAGTGAGGTGGTAAGAAGTACAGAGCAGCGTGAATAAAAACAGTTTTTTGATGATATACTCACCACTCACATACAAAGTTTGTGAAAGCAGTATAAAGTTGGATTTGCTCCTCTAACTTTGCTGCATCCTTTCCAACTTCCTCAAGAACCGCTGGTAGGTCTTTGACCAACGCCTGAAGCTCCCGAGCCACATTTTCTCCCTGTCAGAGGAAAGAGGGCGAGCAACAGGATGAAGACAGAAGTCTGGACGTCTTTCTGTTAGTTAAAGACATCATTTTGTACATTGCACAACCCACAAACACTGGTTTTTGTGTTTTATTGTTCTCCTGCGGGTGTGCATGTTGTTGTTGTACTTACGGTGATGCCATACTTTTTGCAGGCAGCATAGTAGCGTTCCCTCAGGTCTGCGGCTGAGCTCTGGCACTCCACTTCCCGCCTGCTCAGCTCCTGCTGCAGCTGCTGGGCTTTGGCCAGCTGCTTCCTCAGAGCCGGACCTTCATAGCTCACATTGCGACTCAGCAAGCTGGCCACCTCCGCTGGGACACACAAACAGACTTTATTCTATACACACAATTATTTAGTTTCTACAGCTAGATGCTACTTCAGAAATAATCTCAACAGCAGCAACTACAACTACTGTTTTCACCATTTCTGGTTCCCAAGAGAACGTCAACAGGTTTTATTTGCTTAAAATTGTCTTTCTACCTCAATCATATACAGACGAATGCTGTATTAAATCCATAAATCCATGTTTTTATATCACACTCACCCAAATAAACATTGTCTCCCTCATAAAGGGACACAATCTCTTGCCAATCCTGTGAAAACAAAAACAGAAAACACAATTTAAATCTTAATTTCAGATAGTCTTTGTAGTTTTAGAGCAGAGGAACACGACACAAAGAAATCTCCTCAGACCACTTGGATTATAAACTCGACAAAACTGACACACCAGCAGTTTGTTTGAATCCTCTCACCTTCATCCTCTGAGACGAATATCTGCCAAAGATGTTCTTGGAGGAAGCTTCAGTCCCCTTCAATATCTCCACTATCCTCAAGCAGTGAAAGTAGTGAATGTCTGTCAATAAACGCAAACAAACAACAACAAAAGTACGTCAGCCTATAAGCATTCATACAGAATTTAACAACAGTTACAGCTGTTTACAGAAATATATTCCATCTGATGTGCAGCGAAAAAGATTTTTAAGGACTTTCCTAAGCTGGTACTCTATTCCCTAAACTAAGAAGATCTTTTTGTTTTTGTTTTGTGTGTGCATAAATGTGAAGCACAAGACACTAAGACAATATCGCAAACCATATCTTCCTGCTTGTTTTTGGATGGCAGACAAGAAAAATAATTTATATTGTGAACTGAAATATGAAAGAACGGAAAGAAACATATATAGATTAATATAACTCATGTCATACCTTTTTCTATGTGGTACAAACTGACACCTATCTTTATCTCGTTAAGAAGAGTCTTTAAGGATTCTGGAAATATCAATATATATAACAATCTCCGAGGTTCACCAAGGAACACGATTAAAATCAAGATAATGTGACATTTGTTGTGGTCTGTACCAAACAAACGTATTTCATTAAAGATTTGTAGACCAGGGAATCTCTGCCGAACTACAGCATCTCATTACAATGCTGTTTTGTCTCTCATATTGCGGTTTTCGATAACACTGCGATTAATTGTGCAGCTCTAACGAGAAGCACATTAATCTGGGGGCTGTAAGGGACCCACAGGAGCCGGAGAGAAGCTTCTTGATCTCCTCGTTCTCCGGCATGTCCTGGATGGCAACGTTGATCTTCTCTCTGATCTCTTTCACCGCGCTCTGCCATTTCAGATTGCAGTGACGTCGATCCAGCAGCCAGTCTGTGCACACATAAAGGACTCATCATCATCATCATCATCATCATCATCATTGATATTGATATATCTGTGGATTGGGCATCGTTTGATTCACTTATTGCAGGCAACAGTTGGTTATAGCTCTGCAGGAGAAGAAACACAAGCCTTTAGGTAACAGTAACAGTCTATTTTACATATTTGTGCCTTTTTTTTTAACTTACCCAGAAGTTTGCTGGTCTGTATGTCGATTGGGAGGTTTTGAATATTCTGTTTAAAGTGATAAAACGGTAAATATAATCAGTCATTCACACTTGTTTTCCTCTATTTAAGTAGCAGTAGCTTACACAGAGGGATAGTAATGCATTATAGTGCGGCTTGTAACGTTGAATAGCAACATAAAGAGCAGAAAGAAGCCTCAAATAAGACTATTTTCTTAAAGCTTTGCGGAATGTTTATGTTTTAACTGGACTTTGACAGCTAGCTGGCTAACGTTAGCTTGCAGGCTCATTTAAAATAAATAAAAAAATAAATAATTTCAGCTTACCTCCATTTTATCTTCACCTTTTGAAAACGAAAGCACTTCCCAATATTTTATCGCTTCATTATAAGTTTATTTAAAACGCTTATGTGGAGGATTGTCGTCAACGTCCGTGTTTTCACTGTTTATGACACGTTACGCGACGGGAGAGCCAATAGAAAGAGGCGATGTTAGACCCCGCTCGAAGGATTGACCAATGATGTTTCACTTTGCTGACAGCGGCCGCTGATTGGTCGATGTGTTATTGAGTGCAGTATTAAAGTCTGCCGGTAGAGGGCGGTGTCGTCCTTTCACTGTCTGCATGCTCTGAGATGAGAGTTTGTAGTTTTTAAGGGAAGTTAGTGTAGTTTTATTTATGTAGTCAGTCGAGGAAGAAACAGTACAGATACAAGAGAGTATTATCAGCAAAATGTACTAAAAGCAGCAGAAATTAAATAAAGTAAACTACCTTTTCTGCAGCAATATGGCCTCTGTGTTATTATTATTAATATAGTTTGTTTTGGGATGTGTTAGGTAGTATTATTTTACTGTTCTAGCTGCTCGTGTTGGAGCTTACTACTTCATACACTTTGCATACAGACAGATTGTTCCCCGCTGTCACAAGATCAATCTGAGGGTTCGGGAAATTATTAATGTGAGAAGAAAGTTCTGCTACACACATCTGTATTCATTTGTTGGACTTTTCTTTAATCTGTTCTGTTTAATCTTTTTTTTTTTTTTTGGAGAAATATTCACTAGTTTTCCCTCTTTAGGCCTCGAGCAATTATTTAAATGAAGCCATCTGAGAAGTTTAAAGGGAAAATGTCTTTTAGTTGAACTGCTTACAGCTCACAGACGTCATAGGGCTTTTTTTGTTGTTGTAAGGAGTCACAAGCCAAAAAAAACATTTGGTATAAAATGGAAATACTCAAATAAAGTACCTCAAAATTGTACTTAACTACAGTACTCCTAATTACTTTCTACCCTTGCACCATCCCATCAAATAGAAATATTCTGTGTGCATCATTTTAGAGACATTTCCCCACAGTTCAGTCTGACATATTTAACATATTTGGAAACTTTAAGGTCTACACTAGAACTTAAAATAAAGTTCTTATGGTTTAATTACTGACTGACCCTGTTAAAGTTATTTCCCATCTTTGCATCAGACCATACACAAATCTCTTACATGCTGTCACTGAAAACCAAAAAAAGAACAGAACATTTTGGGGAATCTTGTGAACTCCAACCTGGACAGAGATGAAAATGGCTCAACCGCTGCCATTAAATCCCTGCATGTAGTCGCAGCAGTCAAGTGGCCTAATTTCAGGTCATTTGAATGGTAACCAAACTTGCAAAGTAAGCATCCATTCACTGTCTGTGATTTTACGCAAGCCATGCAAAACATCAGGGCCACTCACCTCATCTCTTTCTCGCTCTCTCTCTCACTCACTCACTCTCACTGTATGTCTCTCTCTCTCTTTCTACAGCTTAAAGTAATTACTTAGTGTTGTGTAACAGGAATGAGAAAACTCAAACACAAAGATGACTTTATTCTGCGTCCAAATTCCACATTAAGACCGAGTTTTAAAGTGAGACTGATAAAAGGGAATTTATTTGCAGTTTGGAAAGCTGCTCACCTCTCAAGTTCACATTAACTCTGATGTCAGTAATCTTGATGCGGACTGGGCTGGCCTGAAGAAAGGTCTCACTAAATCACATGGTTGCAACATTTACTCACTCGTGCACTTAGCTGGGCAGGCTGTAGGTGTATGTATGTGTGTGTGTGTGTGTTTGGGGAGGGTGTGTGCTGTAGAGAGGAGAGTACAGAGGGACAAGGTGAGTGAGAGAGAGAGAGAGAGAGAGAGAGAGAGAGAGAGAGAGAAAGAGAGCGAGGCAGAGGGAGAGAGATGCTGCACCTGTGCATGATCACCTGAGGAGAAGAATTAAAAAGAAAACAGAGGAGGTAAAGAGTCTGTAAGCATGGCGGGACAGTTTCACATCTGATCTCCTTCAACCGGCTCGTCATAAGAAGGTAAGAAAGCACATTTGTGCACCTGAAAGCGATTTAATGTCTCTAATATACTGCAGGAACTCTTCTCGCTGGTGTTAAATGTTGACGAGATCCAGTAAAAGCTGTTGATTTGGTTCAATATATTGGTTTGGTTTATTGACAACTTTCTATATTTATAAAATACTAAATATCAGACTTTGTTAGGCTTAGAAGGATAAAGTCTGCAACTTTTTTGGACAAAAACAAGACATTTTAAGATGTGATATTGGGCTACAGGGGATTGTGATGGGTACTTTACACTGTTTACTGATGTTTAATTGAACAAATAATTCATTTATTAATCTAAAACACAGTTTGGTTGAAGTCCTACAAGATGGAGACAGTCAGTCAATGTCTGACATTAAGACATGTTGGAAAATAAGAACTAAAAAACTAGAAACATTGAGTCATATGAACAAATTCTATGCTATGTGTTGTAGATGTGTTATGAGATGACTCTCACTGTTCACCTCAGATTGTTTCAGCTGATGTCATCACTCGGCTGTATGATGTTTGAGCAGGTGACACTGTTTGAGTGAGAATAATAAACCTTCCTTAACTCGAGATTGCCACAGCCTAAGTCATGTAAGAGATAACAAATGTTGAGCACACATGACATTTGAAAGAAAAGTCATATTTCTGTGACTTCTACATCAACAAAACAAACAATAAAAAATAATTCCAGACACTTCGATTGATGCAAATGATCATTTTTATAAACATCAGGCGAAGGACACCCCAACTGCTCTTCATTCACTCATTCAACTTTGCTGTTACGGGTCAACAGCGAAGCTGGCACGAGGGACGAAACCCGAGAATCTAATGAACCTTCAGCTCAATTATGAGGGCAGCGCAGTCCTCGGTGCCCTTGGAGCCTCCTCTCTCCCTCCAGCTCAAACATTGTGCTATTGAAGGGCTTTTGCAGCTGGTTAGTGATTTCCGAACGTTCCCTTCCTGCTGTGATCTCTGAGGCTTTGCCGAGCAGCTCACCCACACATAACAGAATACATAGTAACTTATTAAAGAGAACTATGGAGGGCCTCCTTTATGTCAACAGGGCTTTTTTGTCTCAAAGGTCACATCTAAGTCAAACATGGAATACTAAAAGAAATATGTGTGCATATTATACCACTGTGTTACTTACTTAACGCGGTGTGAAAGTGCCGCTCGAGGCCCCCGAGTTACCTTGTTCTGCAGAAACTGCTCTATGAAAAGTCAACAATACTATGTAAATGCTCAGTAAACATTTGTTATAGAGGAACCTGTCTTTTGTCAAAGGCTAAGCAGATACATGTTGCTAAATTCTGCAAGAAAAGAACAGGAATTAACTTTGGATTTAGTGCTTGAATCTAAAATCAAATAAAAGTAACATTAAAAGAGCTGAAACACAGAAGAAAACAGACGCTATCTGTTACCAAAGGGGCTGTAAACGAGCAATAGGCCACGTGTAATTAAGCAACACAGGGTCAACAGGAAGGAACATTAGGTCAATACTAATAAGGAACAAGGTCTCTTATTGTAAGTGGATTCAAACCCTATCACAACATTTAATCAGAAATCTCATCAATTGTTTCCTCCTCTGAGTCTTCCCCCTGAACCTTCGCAGTACGTGTACGTGCCCAACATCACATGCTTCAGATAAGAGTAAGATGAGTGTTAGGGCATGGACTGTGTATTTGCATAGGTGCTACATGATAACATGACCACACCAAAGGAGGATTTGTGTGCTTCTTTTCCTCCCGTCTGACCCTATAAAGTAGGAATCATGGTGTCTGTGGAAAATCTGGTTTATAAGCAACATTTTATTCAAAATGTGTAGCTCTGATTAAGACCATCAGGCCTCAATCTGTGCGTGCTACCTGTTATGCCTTTGGGTGTTCATCCAGGGTTCAACATTGGATTTTTATTCAAATAATATTCATTTTTTTAATTTGCGCGTTTGTCCCAGTTTCAAATTTAAAAAGAAGATTTGAAAAATGTTGCGAGAATTAAAGGAGATCCTGCAGTTTAAACTGTATTATTTAAAAACCCCCAAATATTTAATTTATTATAAATCCACTGTAAGAGCAAAAGCAGCCATTGAAATGATTTCTCGAATAAAGAAGCTCATTCTTGACATAAAATAAATGATCTTAACTCAAGGTCCACTTTCTAGCTTTTTCTGGAGCTTCAGAGCAAACTCTGCTAATGAAGACATGTGGTTGAAAGCTCTAGAAAAAGCTATAAGAACCCCTTTAGTAGTTTAATTACGCATCAAAAGCAAGAGTCTTTTGTGTGTTAGGAGCATTGTCATTCCTGTTTATGGATTATATTTTATAGAGGATATAAACACAAACCTGTTTAAACACTTGACATAACACAAATAAGCAATATAAGAATCACATAATAAATCTTTGTGCCTGTATGCACCCATAAATCTGCATTACTGTAGCTGAAATCATACAAATAGTGTGCGTTTTGTGATGCTCTCTATAGAGTCTTTGCTGTTATATAACTGAACTCCTGGTGCAGCATTAAGACAACAGCTTGCTTCTTCATCGGTCAAGGGAGTTTCTTTTTTTCTTCCTGACTTCATATCAGATCACATGGGAAAGGGGACAGGGGATACTCTTCAGATGCTCATTAATTTATCAGCTGAGAGTCTCAGGTGTCCTCCCCCCCATTAGGTTACACCTTCTACTCACGGAGATGTGCAACAGATGAAAAGAAGCTGAGGGTAGTTACTGTCTGCTGTCGAAGGACAGATAACTGTACAGGAGAATACAGCGTCCAGCATGTGCTCGACCAATATGTAATTAATATAAATATATGTACTGAATCCAAATGTACACCTGATTTAGAAATTACAGTGTATTATCAAAGTAAATGTACTCAAATAGGCACAATGTTATAGCTATTTGTGCTTAATTTTTGTACTTTTTTACTCCAATACATTTAATTCTCAGCTGTAGTTACGATTATAGATCAAGATTTTACATACAAAATAAAAGAGCCAGAAGAAAAACACCATAAACGTGATAATAATTCTGTATTTTTTACTTTAATGGAGTTTTGTTATATGGATGCACAAACAACAGTTCAGTGTTCGGGCCATAGCTGGGATTTTAGGGACTTTATACTGAGTTCAAAAGTCCAAATTCCAAAAACATCTAGAAATGTTTGACTAGCCAGAACAATAAGTCTGTGAAACCTTCCGATTATTTTATTATTATTAAGGCTAACTGAGGTTGAATGTTTATAATTGACACTGGGAACAGTTGTTAAGTACTATTTTAAGATGGTAGAGTTATATTGGACAATTTCCCAATACGTTTTTAAAATACATTAAAAAATATTCAATATTTAAAGCTCTCTAGTCTTCCAAAACACACCATGAGACATTTGTGTGTGGCTTTAGAGTATAAACTCAAGTATAAAAGTACAAATACTACAGAGGATATCACCTTAGTGACCTCAATAGCAACTTCAATACATTTTATTGTCCCAATATGTTCCAGGAAGACAGATATCTGAAATATGGCACAATAAAGCTGAGGAGGAACTTTCTCAAACTATTCCTGTACTTGCATTTTATTAGTTAATGCCGGGAATAATAATAACCACTATCAATAAAGGCATGCTCTCCACAGTCCTAAGTATGTGCTCTATGTCCCTCTAGGTCAGTCCTCCAGTCTCCGTTGGTGCAATGGCTGATCCAAGCTGGTGGAAGCTGACCTTCTCACGCAAGAAGAAATCTGAATCTAAAGTTCTGTACGAGATCCCAGCTGAGTACGGCAGCAACACCGGAAACAAAGAGCACTCGACCAATAATCCCCCTCCAGACCACACGGACAGTCAGTTCAATGCCAGACTGGAGAAGATTGTAGATAAGTCTGCCACCAAGGGCCGCCAAGTCAAGGTCTCCCACTCCGGACGCTTCAAGGAGAAGAAGAAGGTCCGAGCCACGCTGGCCGAGAACCCGGATCTGTTCGCAGAGCACAACCTCAGTGACGAGAACCATAAAAAGAAGACTGACAAATAGCAGCTTCCACAAAAAGCACATACTTGATCACAAATGTGTCATATATCAGTGTCACACCTATAAAAGCTTAGAGGAAGGCTGAAATACACACACACACACACACACACACACACACAAGCACAACCATGTGGCACAACACGTGTGAGGTGGATAAACACTTGTCACCAGGCACCGCACCCACGTACACACTGTAACCAATGGACTCACACCCATACAAACAACTGGTATCAGCGGACAGTCACCACTAAACAAAGTGCTGGAGACATTTTTTCTTCTGTCTCGCTCACACTGTTGTTATTTATCTTCAGAAATGATCTGTGACGTGAAAACTCTGCCTAACCTCTCATGCAAACATCCTTATGAATGAACAGTAACATTATTGTACATTAACTTTTTATGTTTATTATTATAGATATGACGTTTTGGAATTAAACTTCCTGTTTTTGTGTCTTACTAAATCGATACAGGAGTGAAGAAATGTGTCTGTAAAGCAAATTTTTATTACCTTTTTATGACCAAAGCAAATAGAGACGTGATTTTGATGACTTACGGATACACAGATATGTTATAATCTTTTCTGAAAAAGTCCTAATGCAAATTTGTTTTTAATAAATGTTTCAAGATGAGTTGATCTAAACGAATGCTTTGTGTTTGTGCAGCAGTACAGGCCTGTCGCTATTATTTGAGCATCAATGATTTAAGCCACTTGGCGTGTTAATCTCGGTTTTAGGTTACCGAGACGAGTGTGTGCAGGTTTTGTTGACATGGTGATGGTAAGCAGACACTGACATTTGACACGCTGCCGTGCTTCTGCATATTGTAGTGTGGCGATCGTTGCATCAGTTCACAGACTGACTGCAGACGTGTTACAGCCATGAATCAGCTGGTAGGTGGAGGAAGAGGTCGAGCCTTTAAGTAAAAGTATTAATACCACACTGTAAAAATACTCTATTACAAGCAGAAGGCCTGCTTTAAAAATGTATGTATGTAAAAATGTATTATTAAGTATTACAAGTACTCTTAATATGTGTTATACTATTATATATTATATTATATTAATATGACTCATTCATTAATGTAAAAGCAGGATTTTACTGCTTTACTTGATTATTTATAGCTATATTATTTAATAGAACTGCATCTCAGTATTCTCATTATGGATTAATCTAATTATTATTATTATAATTTCTCCATTAATTGATCGATTGATTTGTAAACATAGTGAGAAATGCCGTCACAATTACACAGAACCCAATGTGACACCTTCACAGTGGTTGTTTTGTGAGAAATTTAAATTTTATTCAAAATAATTTAAAAGAAAAGGAACAAATTAAACTTTTTTTGGATGTTAGATTGTGGGATAGTTTAATTAATAACTAAAATATAATCCTATTTTATGAGCTCTTTGTATGTGCTGTATGCAAAAAATCTTCATTTGCAAAGTAACTAGTAACTAAAGCTGTCAGATAAAGTACAATATTTCCCTCTGACTGTAATGGAGTAGATGAAGACTCGAGGAAAGTACACGTACAGGCTGTTCATCTTTGCTGTCGTGTGTCTGACATCTGCTGGACAAACACGCACTTAGTCCTCAGTTACAAATTAAACTTTATTATTGGCTCTATTCCACAGTTAATTCAAGTCAAAATAACATTCAGTAAACAATCAACAACAACAAACTTATTCTCAAACAGTACAAGACTCACACAATACACATCATAGTTGGCACAGTTCAAATCATCAGCTCTTTTAATCTCATTATTAAAAGGCAGGTAGAGCCAATGTCTTGATTTAAGATCCATTCATAATGAATTAAAGTCAGATAAAGTCGGACTGTATGTGGTGATTTTATCGGTTCTGTAGTATAATCTCCTAGAAAGACATTGGTGTGCAACTGTAAATTTACATTTTTAGATGTAATCTAGTACTAATTATAAGGAAAATAAAGACAGTGTTAATTTGTTAAATACGCTTCCAGTTAATTAACACAATTTCACAAATAATTCAATTTCAAATTGTGTGATTGGTGATTGTGTGATTGGTGATTGGTTTGTTTATTACTGAGTTTATAGTTAAAGGTGATGTTGTACTGGACTACATTACATTAAGAGGTGTTTTTTATTGATTTATTATTAATACTACTAGTTCTCTTTACTACTAGTGTTTTTATTTGGATTTAAATAGATCATAAACTCAACATAACCAACTAAACTCAAACAACTGTCTCTTATTTCCTCTGAAATTAGTGCAAAATTACATATTGTAGTTTTAGTAAACTTTCTTGGAGATTACGGACGTGTAAAATCAAATGTATATTATTTTACCCTTATTTTAACACTGAAAATGGACCACGCTCTGCTACTAAGTACTGATGAAGAGTGGACAGTCAGTGGTACAGCAGACACAGTTTCCTACGTCCTAAAGGTTAACAACAACAACGCTGAATAACCAACGTCACCGTCAATCATTGTTTGACCAGACGAGGAGGAGTTTGCTCTACCGTGTCGGTCAGTGAACTTTCTGTGTCCGCACAGCGTCTTCTAATTTCATATTGTGTGGAAAAGGTTACGGTTGTGTCACACCTCTGAATAAACTGTGTACTGACATCAAGGACAGAGAGTTCAATGACGTTAGGCTTGTTGGTAAATCCTACACACAGAAACGCCTTTTCAATCAACATCAGATGGTTTCCCAACAGTACCTGTAGATGACTTCAAATGAGATAAAGTTTTTTAATCAGTGATGAGATGAAACTTCCTGTTGAGGTTCGTCTCATGGGGACAGCCGCTGGTACACCCAGCCTCCCTCGGCGGCGTGCTGAAACTCTCCCGGCTCGGACTCCCCGTCCTTCGGCTTGGTGAAGACGATGCGGTCGTGAAGTCTGTTGGTCTGACCCTGCCAGAACTCGATCAGGTAAGGCTTGACGATGTAGCCGCCCCTGTTGACAAAGGAAGGACCGAATATTGAGAAAAATCTGCCTATAAGCTCCTCTGACGCTCACTAGTTAACACATTATAGCCATGGAGTTATATTTAAGCCTCATTCGTGTCCACCTAATGTGACATTTTGAGCACATAGATCACATTTTGTACAAAAAAAAAAAAAAGATTCTGAAGAGAAAAATTACATTTGAGCAAACAAAAGTCTATCTCGTCCTCAAATATGATGACAAATATAATGCCACATACGCTGACAATTCGCTGTTATCCAGCCCAGGAGCAGTTACTTCCTGAAGTCTCCACTGGTTGCCTAGCAACTGAAAAGGGTTCAACACATAAAGCCCCTGTAAAATGGCAAATTTTAGTTTTTAATCTTTAGGTTTAGTATGTTTTTTGCATTTTATTTTATTTTGTAAACCTTAGGACTTGAACCAGGCTAGTTGTTTGCCCTTGTTTCCAGTGCTGAGTCATTCTAATCATCATTTTAAGATTTCATGGTTTAATTTAATGTAAAATACTCACCAGTAATCAGGCATAGGCACCTCTGTGTCCTTGTACTTCTCCTCAAGTTCTGCATTTTTCTGCCTAAGATACTAAAATAAAACAGGCTCAATTAACGGTGAAAATTGAGCCTTTAACATTTATATATTACCGACATAACAGTGTATAATTCTTACATCTCTGTTAGGAACCGGAGTGCTTTGTCGGCTCACGGCAGCCCCGATCTGGCTGCTCTTTGGTCGGGAGTGGAAGTACTCTTTGGAGGTCTGGAAGGGGATTCGCTCTACATCGCCCTCAATGCGAATCTGCACGTTAAAATTACAGTTCACAAATGTTTTTTGTGGGAAAAATCAATTAAAATATTATCAATAAGACCGTGTTTGATGAGCGATGCTGACCTGTCTGTTGAGAGGTTCCCAGTAGAAGACCAGACATGCATACGGATTGCTCTCCTGTGGACAAAGAACCGATCACATTATCGATGAGATCAATAAGAAAAATGCTAAACACTACAAAAGATAGTGATGTCTGAACTCAGTCAGCATTAAATGAACTGGAAAAGTGATGTTTCCATCAAGATATGTTCAAACAACCAGTGCAAGCAGAGTATTCAAACTAAGGTTGCAGTTATTTTAATGAATGATTTATCATTCAGGTATTTTCTTGATTAATTGATTAATTGTTTGGTCCATAAAATGTCCCAAAAATAGTGAAAAAGAGGCATTCAAACAGCTTGTTTTTGTCAAACCCAAAAGATATATAACATTCAAGACGATGGAAGGAGAGAAATTTAGACATTTTTCCTTAAATCATTTCAGCTGTGCGTTTACCTGAAACTATTAATTACATTAATTAGAAAACAGTGAAAAAACCAACAGTCCAAACACCCAAAATATTCAATTTGCAATTAAAAAAAATAGAGAAAAGCAACAAGTTGTCGAATCTAAGCAGCTGGAATCTGAGAATATGTAGATTTTACTTTGATAAAATGACTTAAATTAATTATTCAACCCCTGGTTTCACTATCACAAAGCAGCAGACAGCCGTGCTACATTATGAAGGGAATATAAATGAGCAGTGTCAAAGTTTTTATTGGGTTTTTAAAGGTCACATAAGGTCACAAAGAGGACGAGAGACTCACCAGCTCAGAACCCTTCCGGCTCTCGTAGTTGGAAAAGAATCTGAAACCTTCGCTGCTGTAACCTTTCAGGAGGACCATACGAGCTGATGGACGTCCGTCTCTGCACACACAGATTTAAAAAGCCTGACGTTAAGAGTGTGAAAAACAGAAAAATAAAAACACTTCAGCCTTCTGCTACCTACTTGCTGGCAGTGGCAATGCACATAGCATTCGCCTCTCCAACTTCAGGACACTTTGTGGCTTCATCAAACCAGTTTCCAAACTGTTTGATTGGGTCCAGAGATACAAGCTGGCTCTCCTCAAAGCACTGTGAACAGAAACATAATCAATTACACACACTAATGCACTTAACTTCATGCAGGCCTTGAGTGACTCCTAAAAGGTCAAGTGTCCAAGGTGTGACACATCTGTGCAGCATGAAAAACAGCTGCTTTCTCCAGCTGTGCACACACACTGCACTCAACAACAACAACAACAACAACACATTGCAGTGTTTTGTACATCACTGGACTTTATGACCTTGCAGTTGCACGTAGCAGAGCAGCGGATTAGGTTATATGAGTGAGTTTATTCCACCATGACACAGGTATCTTATCTCAGGTGTTTCCAAAGGCTACTCACGTCCTCATCTCCTTTGTATTTCTTCCTCATGTCACTCAGGTCCATGTTTGAACGGTCACTCGTTGATTTCCGGTATAAATTCAGTGCAAACCCGCTTTGTTGACCCGCCGTGAAAGAGACATGAGACGGAGGATTTCGGCTAAATACGCCGATTTGCTCAAATAAAATCGCACTGAGTTTGCGCCTCATGCTCGTAAACTGACGCTGACGTAACCGCGTAACCTTGCGTAAAAATGTTACATAAAAAGTTTTGTAACGGCTCAAAATATTTAAGTATAAAAACGTTTTTAAAATCGTATTTTCACACGTAAGCTTTAGTTAAGATTAAATATATATTCTTTGTGTCTGCAGCGGATTTTATTTAAACATAAAAATCCGAAACGCGATGACGTCATGCTGCATTCAAGTCATATCTGTTTTTATAAGACCTCGTCAGACACTCCTTGGATTCAATGATGTGTTAGCTCCCAGTTAAAAAGATAATAAATTGATTTAATCTCGCGGACATTTATGATATAATATCTTCCATTTGCTGTCACACAAGTGTCAACAAACTGGTGGTAAAATGAAAGAAACATAAACAAAATTCGATATTAAAACCGATATTCCTGATTTATACATTAACAAATTAGCTCTACATTGTTTTGTTTGTATCTGCATTTGCTTGTTGGTGATTATAAAATATGTAAAAAACAAATAAATAAAATAGGATTGGTTTAGATGGGATTGTCTTACGTCCGACGCGGCCCTGAATGCAGCATTTACGCAGTCGTCACTTCCTGAATCAGACTTTTCCTGCTGAACATGGCGGCGACCTTGTGTGCAAAATTACTACCGAAACCAGGTAACGTAGAGCCAAAACAACACAGCTGTGTGTGTGCAGCACCGCAGCCTCCAGGCTGCAGGTTGAGTGTTGTGTGAGCGGCTGTGTAACAGACTGTGTAACAGACTGTGTGCCCTGTTTCAGGATGGCTTCCCCTCACACAGAGTGTTCGCCACGGCTCCAAGGCGGTGACTCGCCACAGGAGACCGATGCACCTCCTCAAGCAGAAGATCCTGGCTGTCACTGAGTACGTCCCTCCGAAGCGGCCTTTTCCTCCCGGCGCATATCCATCCGAAACCAAAAGAGTCCAGGAGGTAATGTTCATCCCGTTCCCAGAGCCAGAAAGTTTGTGCACAGCAAAGCATTAGACTCATCTGACTGCTGGGCTTCTTATTCCTCATGCACAGGTTTGTATCTGCTGCTGTAGCTTCCACAAGAGGCTGCAACCTGCAGAGGTTTGCTGCACAGTTAATCCCAGTAAAATATAAATATTCCAGGTAAAATATGTGACAGGATTATTATTAAGTATTGTAGTTCTGAAGAGATGCCCTGGCCTAAAAATCTTGTGTAAGAAAACAAATGTCACATCGTCATGGTTTTAATATTTATTTTCACATATCGTGCAGCCCTATTATAAATATACTTCAGTCAGTCACTCTATAATTGCACTTTTATTCAAGATTGATGTGAAACTCAAACTTGTAATTTCATCAGGATTTACAGTTTTGTGCAATCATTTGTTAACTTTTTATTTTACAAAGTACAGCTGCTTGTGAAGTTAAATTAAAAAAAAAGAGACATACAAGTGCATTAATGTAGAATATATTCAGATGATATCTGTAGAAACATCGTCCTCAAACCTCAAACCATCTCTTTACCAAACCAGTAGCTTTACTGAAATCCACTTCCCTGTGAGACAAACTCTCTCTCTCTCTCTCTCTCGTTGCTCCACCAGGAATCTCCTTTCGCCATCCTCTTGAAAAAGCAATTGGAGAAAATGTTCCAGGACTGTAAGATGGTCGCTGTGGTCCAGAACAACGCCTGCAATGCTGAAGACATGCTGACTCTCAGGCACAGACTTTATAAACACGGCATCACTGTCAGGTTCTTCCCCAACCCGGTAATGCGAAAATTGCTAATTGCTTATTACTAAGTGTGTTGATTGTGACGTTGAGGTCTTCCCCTGTGTAGCTTGATCAGACAGTAGATAGATGATGAGACTGTTGCTATTGTTTATTAGTAAGATAAACCATTATGTGTTTCCTTTACTCAGAAGACACAACACAACCTAATTCCACCTTTAGGATCATTTAAAGTTATTCTAATCTTTTTAATTGTGCTCTTTTTTTTTTCCAGGTCGCAAGGTCGTTCCTGAGCAGCAGCGTTTACTGTAACATGGCTCCTCTGTTCATCGGCCCGATAGTCCTGTTTGTTAGTAAAGAGCCAAAGGTGAAGCAGATGCTGACGATTCTGAGAGCCAGTCCACAGATGATACTCGTGGGTACGTTCGTCTTCTGTGTCTGCACGCATTTATTTAATTGTTATAAAACTATTTATTACTCTGAGGGTGTCTTTGCAAACAGTTAAAGTTATAAAACTAAAAGGCTTTTGAGAGTAACCACCACTTAAATAACTGATTACCTTCTTGTTGTGAATTAGTTTTATAATATAATGCAGCAGTCCCACTAAAGACTTAACTGGTAAAATTAATTCCACACCTGAGCTTTCATTACTCGTCAAACATTGCAACTTGTTTGCTTGAAAGAACATTTTCAGTATATCTGTGATTGAGATATAAATACATTAACTCCTGAAGAGTCTAGTGTTTTCATAATTTCATAATCTACAAATATATATAAACTGTTTTTTAATGTAGAATCAAGTGTATGAAATGTCAAATAATGATTAATATCTATATATAGATATCTTAAATTCCTGGAAACCAAATGTATGTTGTCAGAAAACCTCAAAGATAATGAATTTAAAATGATAGAGAGCAGCAACTACTGACGTTTAAGGCTGGCAAATGTTTGATAAGTGAACTAAAAAGTCAAAATATTTCAGTCAATCAGTTAATTTACTAACAGTTTCAGTCTGCTGGAGTAAGATAAAATCCAGATTTAATACCAAACACAGGATGAATCCAACATCTCTTGTTGAATATTCATTAATTTTAGTCAAAAACGTATTTAACAAATTGTGTTAAAGACATTTAACTGCAGCTCACTGACCACCACGCTGCTCTTCCCTCAACAGGAGCCTGTATAGACAACACGTTGCTGAGTGCACAAGGGGTAGTGAGCTACTCCAAACTGCCGTCAATCACCGTAGTCCAGGGCGAGCTGGTCAGCGGGCTGACGATGCTGACCTCCCACACGGCCTCCCTGATGCAGCGCCACCCGGTCCACCTGTCCGCCCTGCTCCAGCAGCACGTCAAACAGCAGAGCTCGGACGACAGCGTGGAGGAGGCCACGTAGAGCTTCGGAGGAAACTACCGGGACCGTTGCCTCGCAGATTTCCTGCTGCTTGGAACGACAAGGGGACTGCTGGGTTGGATGCACACTTTAGATTTTATTATAAATTTAGTGCCAAAAGTTCCAGGCAACTTTTTTTTTTTAAGATTAGAAGAACTCTGCAAAAACAAAAATCTTAAAAATTTGAATGGAGCAATTCAATTGGTGCTAAATTAGACTAAATTGTACAATGTGCATCCACCCATAGGGGCACTGTGGCTGCTGTTGACTGTTTTCAGTGCACCGCAACCTCTCAGTGGAAGTGTTGTATGGACAGTGCTGCAAAGGAATTCCTTTATTTAAGGATATGGTCACATATAAATAAACTATGTCAACACAATCTCTCATTGTTTTGGGGATTTAAGATGTTTGGATTAATCAGACGTGTTTAAAATTGGAATTTCTAATTGTCAGAAATCCGTGTTTCTTCTTGTTCCTGCAGTGTGATGTTGGAATGATGTCTGTGCAGAGTTTGACACTAGAAGGATGTTTTCACGTTCAGCTGCTTAAAGTGGAAAGTTTCTCTGTACTCATGGAAAATCGAGTCTACGAGCATGATTTGTCAGTCCTGGTTCAGTATCCAGCTTCTACAATGTGATCCACTGGTGCACAGACCCTGAGAGTGGACTTTACATTGAAGGAGGAGACATCTTGTGTGCAGCAGGAAAACTTAATAAATTAACTAAATTTGCATATTTCATAGATTCTTGTATTTTTAATGAGGTAGAAGAAGTAGATTCCTTTTTGTTATGTGTCTAAATATGTGTCTGGATGGGATCTTTAAGTTAAAAGTCTAATTTTTACATTTGATACAGTATTAAAGTAGAGCAGTGGTTCCCAACGTGGAGGTCGGGACTCTCCCTAAAGGGTCGTCCAAAGCTTCACCTGGGGTCGGGAGGCTTTCTTAAATTTAAGGGGTGTAAGACAACCTAAAAAATATACACAGTAGGCCTAAATATCAGTGTTTCATTCATTTCTGTGAAGAAAACTAAATGAAATTGTCATTTTTAAAGATTATATTTCACTGTAAAACCAGATAAATTATACTCATAATTGTTTAAACTGATTACATTGAACATTTTAAGTAAAACTAACTAAGTTAAAAACATTTTTGATTAAGTAGCTTTAGTAATTTTAAGTGACACTGGCTTAATTTTGATATTTGTATTTAAAAAGATTTTGTATTTAACTTACAAACTTGAGTTTGAGGATCTTTCAACAGTTTTTCTGATTTAAAATAACCTATCGCATTACAGTGTATTAGTTAATATCTATACATCGACCTGAACTCAAGCTGTATTATAACAGTGGTCAAGTATCAGAGAGAAGAAAACACTGAATTGGTCAAAAAGAAGCCTATTAAGTCTTTTTGATTGGGTTAATTGTACAGTTTACCTGCTATACAATATAAAATATCCATTAAATATGTCAGTCAGGGGTCATCATTGATAAAAGGGGTCCCTGAAGGAGAATACCAGCTGGAGTGGCAGCATTGTTGTAAGGCATAAGTAGCATCATGAAAACCACTCCAGTCAAAATAAACACAAGTGGTCACAGATTCTGATACACTAATCTGCAGATTACAGCATGTTAATCTGGGTCAGTTAGTCTAATGGCCCGCCTTTCTAATGGGAGACTCAGGCACTCACTTCAACACCACACTCCTCTGCAGAAGAGGGAAGGTCCCAGAACACATTTAGATCCAGAAAACCAAAGTAAATGTGTGTTAAATCTCTATTTTGACAGATTAAAATAATTTAATCGCTTTGATTTTGATGTTTTATCACAAATTGCTGCAGAAAGCAGAGAAGGAAGGCTCAACCGCACCATAAAACTGTTGGTATAATGGTAAATAAAGGTCAGATTATAACCTGCAATGAATGTTGGACTAATAAGAACCCGTATCAACAAATATTTATGTTTTTGATAAAATTATCAACACACATAAACCCAAATTCCCCCTTAAAACACCATATTTAACCATATTTAATAACATCCTAGTACAGTAAAGCCCTATTTAACATCCTATTTTTGCTTTAAAACGAGTAAACTAGGTGTGTAGAGTGAGTTGAGGTTGGCTGGATTTACCCTCCACTACATCCCTGCTAGACACTCAGTGTAATTCCAGCTAATGCGGATAATGCCCAGGACACATTGCGCACGGCGCGCGCTGCCTCCGACGCGCAGCTCTCCTTGGATTTGAGCTCGAGTCAATCACCGGGAGAGAGGGCACGGCCGGTGAGATTATGTGATCAGAATTAGTGATTATCTTGTGGAAGTAACATGTAGTTTGACGTTTTTTTTTTCTTTCTTTAACTGTTTTCGATGGAAAAACGTTTTCTGCGTCGGAACGGTGATTTGCCGCAGTTTCTTAAACGCCAAATGAGACACTTGTTGGGTTTATCAGGCGCACAGGACTGCAACAGATGATGAGAGTCGGAGGTGAATTTCAGGTAAGACTTCTCTCCAGGTCTTTTTTAACGTTATCTTGCACCGAAAACACGGATATGTAAAAGTTTGGGTTAAGTTCTGACGCAAATTACCGAACCAAAACACCAGAATATTTGATATAATGTCGATATGATATGTGTTAAATTGTAATATCTGTAGTCAATGCATCGTGGCTCTTTGTTCATATTGATAAAATACCAAAAAACAGTCTTAAAACGTCCACTTCTCTGTGTGCCGGGACTTCTTAATGGGCTTTGGATAAGAGATTGTGCGGCCCTGAATAGTTCACATGGACCCTAAAGCACTCGTGGGACATCAAGTAAAGATACTCAGAAATATCAGAGTAGCTGCTTCCTGATTGTACTTGTCTGTCAAAACAAATGCAGTGTGTGTCTGTATGTGTGTGTGTGTGTGTGTGTGTGTGTGTGTGGGACAGACATCCTCACACACTTCCACAGCTGTTGGAAGACAATGTGCTTCTGTCCTGTTAGGTATAAATCATTTACATGTTCTCACCTCTGATTTTGGATCACAAGCACACTGAGTCATTTGATCTAAATAAAAAAATTGGTAATATCTGTACTGCACATGTGGAGAAATCTCACACTCATTCATAAATATCTGATCCTTTTGCTGATCTTTTATTTTGCTGCAGTTTTTATTCCAAAAAACGAGATTATAGCTGTCATAATCTCTGCATCCCAACCCCCCGATACATCCTTTACCTTGGCTGACTTGTTTGGTTGGCTCCCATTTCCATGTAAGGAGCTCATTGTGTCACCTATCCATCAGTTTGTGTATCTTTATCTCTCGTCTGGGAGGAAAAATGGCATTCTCAACGTTTTAATTCCTTATTACTTTTTGAAAATCTGATTTAAATTACTTTTTAATTACATTTCCTCAAAGTGCACAACCTCGACTGTATCTAACTACGACACCTATTCTGTAAACAATCGATCACAGTAAGTTACATGGACCTTTTTCCTTCTTTCTTCTTTTCTTTTTAACAATCTTAAATTATAGTCTTTACTCTTGTGGAAACAGTAACTTTAAGATCAAAACCGATTTGTTTTTAAACTTGTAGAATATTCTTTATTTTCTTCAGTGAGTAAGCAAGCTCAGAAACCTACAAATCCTTTCATCCTGTTTCCACCACATGCTTTCATCACTTAGATCAGTTACTGTTATCCTCTCCTGTCCTTATGTAACAGCAAGCCAGGCGGGTTCTGTCCAGATTTAGAGGGATATCAAGTTTGGATGTAACGCACCATTCACTGCGTATCCATTCAGACGGCCTATATTCTTCACATCTTCATAGGGACTCTATTAATCCCACACTGGGGGGAGATTCACTCGTTACAGCAGCTCCAGATAGAAATACACATTAAATAACAAAATAAAATAGAAAAATACAAGATATAATAATAAAAAACACCAAAAATACACTAAACACACGGAGACTCCTCAACGTAGTAACTTACCTATTGAGTGAATAAGGTTGGAAATTCCCAAATTAAACAGACTGCGATGCTGCAGATGCATGTGTGCAACGTTTTCTCCATGCAAACAAAACGTGGTCACTGTCTCAAACATGTTGTGCTTCAAGTCTTTATCGAGGTTTTGAACCTTTTGCCATCAAAGCACTGCACTGTAGTTATTCTGTCCTGTAATTGTACTGCAGAGTTTGTGTTTTTACGTCTGTAAAGCACTAAACTTGCTGTAAAAAGTGTTTATTTAAAGGAAATGAGGATTATTATTATTATTAATAATTATCATTGTTCAAAGTGCTTTGATGCCAATCCTACAAACATTTATCTGTTTTCCTCTGTTGTGATTGTGGTCAGCACTATGTTGTGTTACTGCTCTTGGCCTTGGGATTGTGTTTGTCCGTATCCGAGTGGCAAGTGGCTAAAAACATCCTCTGAAAAACCAATTAAGCATAGGTTGGTAATCCTCTGCCCGGCCTTCAGGCGGTTATGGCCATGGTGTTACATACAGTATCCAAGTTTGTCTGATTTGAAGCCTAAACTTCTAAATTAATCACTATTTTGGCAAAAAAAATCATGTTTTACATCGATCTTATTTACTTGATTGGAGCATGTTTTAGGGTGTTTGTGTCTTTTTTAACCGCTCCACCCATGTTTGTTCAAAAGATTAACAGATTATTCTGTGACACAGCAACCGCAAGAATGACTCCACATCTTCATAGACTGTTCCTGTTTTTAAATCAAGAATATTACAAAGGAAACATTTAGCAACTCAAATACATAATTTTTGGTCATATTCATGTAGAAATATAACATGTAAAATCTCAAATATTGCCACATCAATTGTCTGAATATTTTGTTTTGTTATTCAGTGAAGTGCTCAGTGTTGGTGACTTTAAGATCCAGAGTGATCTAGATGAGGATAGTGTATCCAGGCAGCATTTAAAACATCACAGGAACCGAGAGCTCAGCTCCCACCTCTGTTAGGTAACTGGATTACACAGAGTCCTAGCTCGTCTCCTGCTCCTGCTTTGAGCCTATTTAACACTTTCTCTTTGGTTTCTTGCTCGTGGAGCTGTCTCGCCCTCGTGGATCATTACACAGCTCTTCATAAAGGACAATATCAGACTCTAACATATTCCATGTAGGCCATGATGTTTAATTGATAAGCAGTAACTAAATAATAGATTCATTTTCAAAAGGTAATTATCAGGAAAAAATGCCATAATGTGAAGATTTTCTGTTTTATCACATCGTAAAATGAATATCATCAAGCTTCATTTAGTAGCTATTCTGGAGCTGTTGATTCATGTCACACGATCTTCATCAGCAGATGGAGTTTGACCAGCTGTCATGGACGTGTGTTTTGAACTGGGGTCAGTCAGAAGAAGGATTAATAGAAGTATTCACATCACATGTAGTCATTGAAGTAGCAATAAGCCACTAAGTGCAGAAGTATTAGCACCAAAATGGACTCAAAGTAAAAGTACACTTAATGCAGAAAGGCCCTGTCAGTGTTATTGGATCATTATTATTGATCCATTTAAGCAGGAGTTAACAGTTGTAGCTGGTCAAGGTGAAGATACTAAGTAAAAAGTACAATATTTTTCCTCTAAAAAATGGTGGAGTAGAGATATAAAGTGTCATAAAATGGAAATACTTACGTAAATGTACTTTTCACCACTGAAAAAACTATTTGAACTCATTAACTAATTTTTCTGATATTTTGTTTACTAAACAATAAACAAATAATAAAAAGAATCATTAATATTTAGATGTCAGGGGAATATTCTTTCACTGGCTAATCTACTCATCCTGACATTTCATGTGATCTTTTTTTTCGCAGATTGCAGCTGATCTCTCCGAACAACCAGCCAATTGCGAAAGGAAGGGGAGTCCGAGCCCCGCGCCCTGAAATGGATTCACACGGATCTTCACTCAACCGCAGCCAATCAGTGGCGAGCGGCCTGGAGAAGACGACGTGGAAGCCGTCCCACTCTCGGAGCAGCAGCACTCTGTCATCTCGCCAATCCAGACAGGTTTGAGGATTTGTGTCAGTTTAGATCTTTAAGGGCACTCCGAACCAGAAGAAGGCCCAGAATAACATCTGACTTGTGTTTAAGTTTCAGTTGTTTTTATTCTGAATTATAGTCGTTATTTAGCATGAATCCCCTGAAATGAGTGAGTCTGTCTATTTATGTGAAAGGCAGTAAATATGCTGTAATAAAATCAGTGTTATTGTGATGATGATGTTTAATTTTATCACTGTGTCATGCATACAACTATGTATGTATGTATGGTCTTACAGGACACTGCAAATTAATTTAAACCACACTCAAAATACAGCATTTACACAGTCAAACAGCACTTTTAAAGAGCCAAAAAGTAAATAATACCATTTCATGTATCAGATTTTTAGACAAAATTAACTGATTAATAATAAGAATCTCGTTATCAACAGTCCTAGGGAAGTCAAAGTAATTGACTGGTCCATCTTGCCTTCTTTTCTGAGCTTTTGAGACAAAGCTTGCTCTCTTAAACGCACCAAAATTAAACACTTTTTTGTGCACAAGAATATTTCAAGGTTTTGTCGAGCCGTTTCATGAAAAACTGACAATGTCAAATCATCATAATGTGTATAATAGAGAAGAAAATGAACTAGATGTATTTTCCTTTTTGCTACCCCCAAATTCAAATACACAATCCTAATTGTAAGACGTCAGTACAAAAAAGTAATTAAGTGTTTTTCCCCATTCCGTGCTGTCCATAGATTATCAAGGATTGGGAAGTGATCGACGACCTTCAGGTAGACATGCAGACAGGAGGTGAACATGATATGACCATCCCGGGTCTCTGTGAGGGATATCTTCTCAAGAGGAGGAAGTGGCCTCTTAAAGGTTGGCACAAGGTGAGAAATACATCCACTCTGTCATCCTGAATGTCAAGATGTTGACTTTAGGAATAAAATCAGCTTTATAAAAATAAATAAGTAAATAAAAAAATTGCGTTTGATCTCTTTTTCAGAGATACTTTGTCTTGGAAGCAGGAATCCTGCGTTACTCCAGAAATCAGCAAGATGTAAGTGAACATGACATTTTATAACAGGATATGTTCAACAACTAGATTTGAAAACACTTTGAACACATACTTTTTTTTCCCATCAAAGGTCTCCAGGGGAAGGGTACAGGGCTCCCTGGATGTTAGCCTTGCAGTGATGTCGATAAATAAGAAATCTAATCGGATCGACTTGGATGCAGGAGACATTCTCTATCATATGAAGGTAAATGATCAAATTCTGCTCCTATTTGTCAAACAAATAAGTGTTTGACAAATAGTGTGCCTTCAGATTAAAAATACTTTTTTGTCTCTCCAAGGCAAAGAGCCATGAAATCTTCTACATTTGGGTAACCAAGCTACAAGCGCACCGCTTGTACAAGAAGAATGAGGCAGCTACTCTTCACAGCGGCTTCCTCCAGACTTTGTCCTTTAGCACTGCAGCTGGACAAGCTCAGAGAAATGGAGATTTGGTGACTATCAAATAAAAAATGGAGTCAAACCTAAAATAACAATCCTCAGGGACTCATAGCGAGTCTTAGATTAACTCCTGTGTCCTCTTCTGATTGTATTCATGTTACCAGAGCTCTGCAGGCGTGGCGGATTCAGCTGGAGCATCAGGAGCGCTGCCTTCAGCTAACACCGCTGTGAACAGCAAAGTGTCTGCCTGGCTGCAGCAAAGTCACAACCCAGACATCTGTGTGCAAGGTATTTGTCAGAAACTCCCAAAGACACAACATTCACAAATTAACAAGGTCTGGATAATCTTAGAAAAATATCCTTAAAAGGGAACTATAAAGCTTTTTAATATTGCAAAATCTAATCAATTACCCCAAACAAAAGGGCAAGGAAGAAGAATTTGTGGAATAAATGCGATGATATTTCTGGTCCTGCTTATTTTGATTTTGTATGAGATGATTTTAAACTGAGCTTTACATGAGCCTGACATTGTTGTAGGAGTGTAATGATAAATTGGTGGCGTACTCTTTTGGAATTGTGTCTTGCATTTCTGTTTTTTATTGCTCTGAATAAATGGACACGCAAAGTATGTGACACATTAAAATCCTGTATTTTCAGTGCAGATATACTTTTTTTAATTAAGTTTTTCATTGGTTAATCTCAGGTTTTTGTCCACCAGAATAAAAGTGATTTCTTCTTACCATTTAATTATTGTTTTGTTTATTTAAAAGCTCCTGAAAGGAACAGCTAAGATTGATGATATCTAAATGTGTAAAAGTATCCACAAACAGTTTTTCTTAGCTGTGGAGTCCTTGCTAACCTTCCTTTTTTCATCATAAAAACTGATCATGACCACAGGAATCTTATCTGATCAATTGGTCACAGAAAATTAATAAAAGAATATACTTCTGATGTCTTCTTCCAGAGCTGAACCGTTGCCATTTGGACCTTTCTGAGCTAAACCGTTTAATCCAGAGCCTCCAGACGTTGGATGCGGGCCAGGCTTTCACTAACGGAGACTTAAAGCGCATCATCAGCATACAGGTTGACTTTCAGATCACTCCTTCTATTTTCAGGAGCTTCACATGAAAAGTAAAATTATTAATGATGAGATTTTGGTTTTAAATTTTTTGATGCAGAATCTTTCGCTCGAGAAGCCGAAGAAGTCGAGGTCAGGGAAGATGTGGGGTCACTCTCGCACACTTTCCAGAGTGGAGGCACTGGGAATGGTATGTAAATTACTCTTTGTATTTAGACCAAAAGACATGAATGACATTGTTTTACATTGATTCAGTCCTTTGATTTGTCATGTCAAGTTTATTTGAAATACTAAATGGTATTTTGATTGAAAGTCTTATTACTGGTCTTTTTTTTTTTTTTTAGAACATATTGGGTTTAAGTTTTTGACATCCCAAACCTCCTGTAACATTTTGGGACCTTTTTCTAATCCAAAGCCTATTCGTGGGATTACTAAATCGGTGAGTTGGCAATGGGTTGAACATGGGACAATTTGATTCATAAAAATGATTCAGTATTCTCCATTTAACATCCTGAAAATGAATTGTGACTGTATTAATAATGACATAAAAGATAATGCCCTTTTTCAGGTCAAAATGGTAAATGTGTTTTGTTGTAATTGATTTTTGTGTTTCATTCAACATCCACAACATATGTATATATCAGAGTATCTTGTTCTTCCCACATAATAGAACATAGCAATGACCTGATTTGGATTTATAGAGACATTTGAATTGTAAAGTCAATAAATAGATCAATCATGTAAACCTGCATTTAGTTTAGATGCTAGTAGTTTTCAACCCTGTTCTTTAGAAACCAAAGTACTTTTGGTTGTCTATCCTGCCAGCTAGTTTGAGTACTACAGCTCTAAATGTTTTCTTTCTTACAAAACAAACAGGACCTCATTTAAATGAGTTAACACAGTTGAGTAGCTGGTATGACAGATAACCTGCAGGGCTGTGGTTCCTCAGGTCCAGGTTTGAGCCACAAAGAGGAAGCCAACCTGATTATCTGAGTGTAAATAAATCCCTGATTAGTTGATTAATGATAAGACTTCTAACTATGTCCTACAGTACAGGTACAGAGTGACCTGTCATAGCAGGAAAAACACAGGTGTAACTAATAGCATTAATGATGGCTCTGTTCCATTTTGGTCAATTCAGTTTGATTGATTTCACCAGGATAAATATGGGCACAATACAACAATAAAACAAATAAAACTTTACTAGAGAGCCAATATACCTTGGTCCTTGCACATTTCAATGGTACAAATATATTAGTTACACCTGTGTTTGACAATAATTTCACATGAAATTGAAGAGAGACATCCATTCGTCCATCTGCATGCTTTCCTGTCAATACTGCGCTTTGTACTAAAGGAAGAGTTCTCCACTATTATGAATGTATAGTAAATATGACACTACTGCCAGCATCTGGTTAGCTTAGCATACTGACTGAAATCAGAGGGGAAACAGCTAGCCTGGCTCTGTGGAAAACGTAACAACCAGCACCTCTAAATCTCACTTAGTAACATGATGATGTTAGCAATTAGCTCAATGAACAAGTGTGCTTCATTATGGCCTCACCAAGCTGCAAACTTGACTGTTAACTTAGCTTAGCATAAAGACTGCTGGCTTTATAGCTTCATATTTACTGTACAGGCATGTTTACAATTTTCTCATCTAACTAACTGCAAGAAAGTGAATAGCTGTATTTCAAGTCCTTTAGGAGTCATAATCCTGTTTATATTCTCACACATGCTTCATATTAGATAGTATGCACACATAGTATTAAATATTAGTAGTATCAGTTTGGAGAGCTGAGGATTGAAACCTTCTTTGCTGAAGAACAGAATACAACTGTGACACTTTTACCCCATTACACCAAACATAACAGATAACACTGGAACAGTTAAATTAACCAATGAATCTTCTATCCTCCTCTGTTTACTTCATAGCTGTCTTCCAGTCACCTGAGCAACTCGTCTCACCTTGGTGCATCAGTCCCCTCCATCCCTGACTACGTCTACTCCCAGCTGTCCCCTCCTACTGTCACACTGTCGCCTGAGGGCAAGAAAATCCACCAGGACATCTGCGCCATGTCGCTACGAGGTCAGAAAAACAGATAACATGCATATATACACACAGACAGACATGGTTTCTGCAAGGTAGTATGGAGAGTAGTAACTTTAACAATAAAAGACATGAATATACGTCCAAATTTCCACAAAAACGTCTCTGTCTTTTATTCCTCTTCAGTGCTTGCTTCCCTGAAGTCAGTGCATGAAACTCTGTCCCAGGAGAGGCAGAAGCTGCAGGAAGTCTGGGAAACTAACAACATCCACGACTCTAATACATTAGCTGAGGTAAGATTCATACGGCACCTGTGATCTGGATTCCCCGGCACATACTCCCTTCAGGTTTTTGATGGCTGGTTTTCTTTGCACCTCCTTCTATCTCTTCCTTCGGCGTTAGCCTGCAGTGGGGAGGCATTCATCCCACGGGCCTCCTTCAGTAGCAGATTCGGCTGCGGAGTATTTTGACGCCAGCGATGACGTCCTTTGTGGTAGTTCCTCTGAGGTGTCTGATGAATCAGGACTTAGTGACGGAAGCACCCCCAACTCTGAGCCAGAGGAAGGACATGGTGGGTTACATGTGCATGAAGTTTCAGCTACTCTGACTGCTACTGTGGTTTTTTTTTCTCACAACTTTATAACTTTTAAAGAAACTCTTTTTATGTGTGCATTGAGACCGTTCTGAGTATGTTGAAGCATTTTTAGCCACAGACACTAGCGACAGTTTGTCTGTCAGTCCACCACTTTTTAAAATATTATTGGATGGATTGCCATGAAATTTGGTTTAGACATTGTATGAATGGTAATAACTTTGTTGACCCCTTAATATTTCCTCTAGCGCCATCATCAGGTCAGCACTTTAGTCTGTCCAATACTTATATCTTTATGATTTATAACTAATCGCCTGCAGTATTAATGCTTTTTTTAAAATGCTAATTAGCAAATGTTAGCATGCTAACCCCCTAAACTAAGATGGTGAACATGGTAAACATTATATCTGCTAAACAAACCCTTTCTTAGCATTTTTACATGATACATTTATTTGTACGGCACATTTGAACAACCCAGTTAATTCAAAGTGTGTTTACAAAAAACATAAAACGCATCAAGACCAAATATAAAAGGAACATAAAAAATTATAATAAAAGAAAAGAGGAGTAAATGTTACAGTGCAGTGACAATAACATTTATCAAAAGTTGGTCAAAGTACGGCACAAACCTTTTGTTATTGATAATTAATACAACTAGCATGAGAATTCTGTCTTTATTACTTAATTCTGATCAATATTATTTCCTTTCACCAACATTACAGCCTCAGCCACCCGGAAGTACCGTGCCAGCATTTCCAAGTCTCCTAACAGTGTCGTTGCCAAGAGCACTGGCCGGCGAACTACCCTGCCCGCTACCTGTCCCGACAACAGCCATGTGGGCCTCATGGCTATCCTCTACAACAACATAGGCAAGGACATTTTGATAAGTCACACCCCTCTGCAGTTACACGTAAATCATTTTTGTCACTTTTGTCACTTTTCTGAGGCTCGTGCTGTTTCTCCTCAGGTAAAGACTTGGCTCGAGTGTCCATGCCTGCTGCTCTCAATGAGCCTGTTAACCTGCTGCAGAGGCTGTGTGAAGAGCTGGAGTACAGTGAGCTGCTGGATACTGCCAGCAATACACCGGACCCCTACCAGAGGATGGTAAGACTATTCAAACATATGTTATGTAAGACAGCTGGTAGTAGTATTGAGTGGGATTTGTTGTAGAAACCCTGATTAATCTGTGTATACGACTGCTTAGATGTTGATAATATTCCCTAAAAATATACATATCCTACATAATAATAGTGAAAGAATGAAGTCAGAGACAGTTATTTTTACCTGGTAATTATAACATCTCTTTTCCACTAGAACTGCAATAAATAGTCAATTCATCGATTCATTGATTTTCTATATATAATATAATTGTTTAGTCCAAAATTCTTTGATTTCAGCTTCTCATAATATTTTCTTTGGTTTGTAGGCAAAACAAGACATTTAAGGACGTCACCTTTTACTGATATAATGAAAACTATTAATAGTTGCAGCCCTCTTACCCACCCTCATACCTCTGAATTAAATTAGAACAACAAACTTGGTAGACAATAAGATTATAAAGGATAAGCACAGGCACCAAGTGCATCAGTAAATGAAGGGAAATGTTGGACCTGGGTAGGACTAACTGAGCAATAAGATCTTAAAAGGAAGCACTGCTGGCATAGAAGAATAAATAATAAACTGCTATAATCCCTTAAACATTAAATAAAATATATTGCACATATCATTTACAGGTTTACATTGCTGCCTTTGCAATCTCTGGTTACTCGACTGCGATGTTCAGAAACCGCTACAAGCCCTTTAACCCGGTGCTGGGGGAGACCTACGAGTGTATCAGAGAGGACCGGGGCTTCCGCCTCATCAGCGAGCAGGTATCTCAAGAAGGAAACTTTTATTACACGATATCTTATTCAGGAATATCTTGTTTGTCTAACACCCATGAAAGCCTTTAAGAGCTCTGACTGGCAACTCCAGGGGAACCAAAAAAACATTTTAAAACTGGGAAAATACCATTGGGAATTACAATTTAGTCCCCATAATCCCCTCTTGGTAAATTAACATAAATCACCTTTTGGTGTAATCGAGCGTCTCAGCCGCACGGAGCTGCATGAGTCAACACTGGGTGATTTATTGCTTTAATAAAATCATTAACTAATTATGTTGTCATTTAGTTTTAATGTCACTTATTTTGATGGTCTGTGATCGGCAATTAAGTGGAAAGTAATTAAATGTCAGTCCTCATCAAAGCCATTAATTTCTTGAACAGTAGCTTTACAATGTAATTCATAAGAAACTGATATTTAAGTGACCTGTTATAAAGTTTTACTGGAGATTGTAATGTAGCTTAGCTCTAGATACATATTCATGAGTATACTACTACAATATTTATAACATCATGATTCAGTGGCTCCTATTAATATAATTGATTATAAATCATTGTATGTGAGCAAAATCCCCTTTCCCAGGACAGGTAATATTATACAGGTATGAACAAAAACACTAATAATGGCTGTGTAGCATTAAAGTCTTCCAGTGCTTGTTGTATTACGCTGAAAAAAGATATATAGTCCTTAAAAAATGCTTACAAACAAGCTTACAGTTGGATAAAGTTGCTCTGCTAAACTTAAAGGGAACTTTAAAGGGGAAGTATTTACAAGCACTACTGCAAATGTAAAAAAAAAAGTGTATTCTTCTAAGTGGATTCTTAAACTTAGCCCTCTTCTTTATACTTTACCAGGTCTGCCACCATCCTCCCATCTCTGCCTGCCACGCAGAATCAGAGAACTACTCCTTTTGGCAAGGTGAGACCAAATGTTTGTGTTTGTTAGTGCTGTTAATCACATGTATTTTCTCCAACTTTGCTTTGGGGATGCATTTGAAAAGCTGCCACTGTATATAATAATATTCTCAACAACACTTGTTTTTATCCCTGATCAGACCAGCGATGGAAAAATAAATTCTGGGGGAAGTCACTGGAGATTCTGCCAACAGGGATGGTTAATGTCACTCTTCCAAGGTAAACACCAGGCTGTGTGTGTTTGCAAATGTACTGCGATGCCTCTGTTAGGTGAGGCATGATACTAGCCGTTAAATGGAAGAAAAGATCAGACTTTATGTAAAACAATTATGGTTCTTTCTAAGGTGCAGTTATATTGCATGCACCTTAACCATCACTTCTGGATGCCCAACTAATGAGTATTTTAATTGTTGATTTTTCTGTTGAATACTTTTTTGGCTAATTTATAAATCTTTTTAATAAAAAAAATGGGAAAAAAGCCCTAAAAACCCCAAATATATTCAGATTAAAAGATATGAAAGAGAGAAAACATTCACATTTGAGAAATTCAAATCAGTGAGAGGAATTTTTGCTTGTTAAATTGCCGGATTTGCGTGTTTTGTCCAGGTATGGAGACCACTATGAGTGGAACAAAGTAGTGACCTGCATCCACAACGTCCTCAGTCAGCAGCGCTATCTGGAGCATTATGGAGAGGTCACCATCCGCAACCTCAAAAGCAACGTCTGCACCTGCAAGATCACCTTCGTCAAGGTGAATAAAAACCTTGTGCTGATGTTTTGTGTCAAGTTGAATTGTCTGTATTTGGTTCCACAGCACATCTCACGGTTTAGACTGACGTGTTTGTACTTTGTTGTAGTCTCGTTACTGGGGTTCAGAAACAAACAAGAATGAGGTGCAGGGCACGGTGCTGGACCAAAGTGGGAGTATCATACACCGGTTCGGAGGTCTGTGGCATGAAGGCATCTTCTGTGACACTCTGCCCACTCCGAAATGTGTCTGGAAGCCAAGTGAGTCCATAATGATCGCTAACAAGATGTAGGACAGTTTGTCCTTGAGGTGTTTCATGTGTTGATGTAATTAGCCTGATTGCTGAGATTCTACTTTAGAGGTTGAGGAGTTTAAATGGAAGTGAAGTGAAATGATACCTCTTGCCAAATCCTAATGCTAATCAGCATAAATCCAAACGTCACGTTTGTGCAGCAGCTCACCTGAGAGTCTTATGTCACCCCACAGATCCCCAGCCAAAGGATCACCTGGTGTACTATGGCTTCTCCACCTTCGCCATGGAGCTGAATGAACTCACCCCGGACCTGAAGCCTCTCCTGCCTCCTTCAGACAGCCGCCTGCGCCCAGACCAAAGGTGAGCGGAGCTGGAGATGTTGGTGTAGGGAAAACTTCTTAATGTATTTGAACAGTTTTCTGATGTTTTAATGCTTAGATATAACATCTGCTAGCTTAGCACAGCGAGACAGCGGAAAGTGGGACAGAATCTGGAATATAAATGGTAGGGAAGGTTTGACTAATCAACACTGTAAACTACTTGCGTACAAGAACAGCAGTAGAGGTAATATTTTGCTAGTTTAGTATTTCTGCTAATTGCTGCTCTCAGTTGCAGGGGTAACGTGTCCCAAGGTACATCAAATTTTCTTAGACATTGTTGAGCGTCTAGAAGACAAAAATACTGGATTTTCTCTGGTGAAAAAAGGAAAATAATGTGTTTTAATGATCACTGTAAAATGGGACCAGGATTAATAGGTAGTGTATTAACGTACATGTACTTTACTAAGTTATAAAAGTCGATTTAGTGTGAAGTTATTCTTGAAATTGTTCCTCTTTTCATAGGTTGCTGGAGGATGGAAAGGTGGAAGAATCAGACATGAAGAAAGATGAAATAGAGGAATTTCAGAGGGAGCGGAGAAAAGAGCTGAGCAAAAAGGGTGAAGAGCACATTCCACGTTTTTTCAAGTAAGTTTTATTCATCTTATTAAACCTGCTAATAGAAACAAACCATCATGTATCATCTGTTTAATGCCTCACAAGAAATGAATAAATCATCTTGATTGATTCATGAATGATTGACAATAGAGACCATAAAAATTTAGGATTATTTTGGTTATTAATTAATCTGGTGATTATTTTCTCAATAAATAATTACAAAAATGGAAAATTGCTCATCACAATATCCTGGAACACAAGGTGATGTCTTGTTTTGTCCAATCAACAGTCCAAAACCCCAACAATATTGAATTTACTATAATGTAAGACCAAGAAAAGCAGCAAATTCTCACAATTGCGAACACTGGATTCATGGTGATATAGCTGAAAACAACCATTTAGAAAACAAAAAAATGTTCTCAGGTTTTCCTTCCGTGCTCATGTGCAAATACAAGAATCAAAGCAATATTAAAGTGTGTAAATGATTACTATTTTCTTCTTCAGGAAAGCCAAAGACGCCTGTGGACGGGACGTGTGGTTGACAAACGAGACGTACTGGAAGCTCAGAGAGAATCCAGGTTTTGCTAAAACTGAAAACCTGATTCTGTGGAGCTGAGACGACGGCCAGACAAAAACACATGAGAGAGAGATATGAGCGGTGGATAATTGGACAGCATATATGAACCGCTCTGAGGATCGTGCAGAGTGGAGATAGTGCTGCTGATCTCATCTTGTACCTTCTGCACGCCCATGACTGGCTCATGGGAACCAGACACCAGTCGAGTTACACAGCATCCACTAACAGGTCTCCTCGAGATCATTTTTCGAATGGATTTTAATGTTTTTTTTTTTTTTTTAGATTACATCAATCGTATATGTTTATATTTTTGAGAGTTTCACAGATTTCTGCCGACTAAACTGAACTTGTGACGCACACTCGGCAGACTTTGAAATGAAAACTCTTGTTAAAGTTTATTTAAAATCAGGTCAGTAGAAGACCTACAATGTTAGGGTGTTAAATGTAAACATTTGATGAAATCATGTCCTCCTCTCAACCAGTTTACTGTGTTTGTATGATGAGTACAATTGTTAGAGATGTATCAATGCTACAGTCAGGGCTGGATCACCAACTGGGCAAACCTGCAGGCCCCAGACCCACCAGTTAGTTTGTGGTAATTTGATTTATTGCAAATTTGTTTGTGGGAATACGCACCATTAAAGCACAATAAAGATAAGAACCTTAAAGCGGCTATAATCACATTTTTATTATAAGAATGGTATCAAATACCTACAGAGTATTATAGCCTGAATCTTCTGTTCCCCTCGGCTTTACGGAGCTTCATAGTGAATTCCAGCTCTTTGTTTAAACTGTCCGGCCCACCACTTTATTGTTTCACTATTGCTGCTCTAACCGTGTTGTTTATGATTAGCTGGTGAACATAGTGGAGCATTTAGCAGGTAGAGACCAAAACCAGAGCTAAAAGACGGTGAATATTGGATTATTGGCCAGAAAAATTACTTCAGATTAATTAAAAACAGCATTTTTATGCTATTATCTGTCAGTTTTTAGATAAAAACATTAATATTTAGTGGCCAAAATAAAAGAATAAATATATTTTTTACAGATTGAAGGTAGGTGCCGCATTAATACCTGTCTTGTCTACCTATTGTATGTTGTAAAGGAGCCCTGTGTCAAACTGTGCATGGTGCATATGCCTACATAAATTTGTGTTTGACCAAATGTTTGTTCAATCAAACTATTACAAACTATTACAAAGCATCTAGCTGCCTGTCTATAGGTGCACCTGTACTGACGTAATGCCTATGAACTATGAACAACATCTGTGGCTTTCATATTAATAAGAACTGAGTATGATGCTGAACATGATCATCAATCACCTACTTAAAGGAGTTTTACTGATAAAGTTTAAGACAGTATCTGTCTAAATACTTTGGTCATTGCTAACATAGATCATATGATGGTGCAAACGTCATTTTATTGTTTTTTATTTTATCTTTTTGAACGTGTTATCTATTGTTTAAAAAAATAATTACCAATATTCAGTATATATACATATTTAAAAGAGGAGAGAGGATGTTATACTGTATTTTTATGTCATTAATAGTCAAAAATATTATCCAGCTGGTTGGAAACATGTACATACTGTATTTATACAGTACATTAAACTGTCAACATCACTACTGTGTTTTTATTTCTCACTGGTATCATTTAGTTTATTGTAACTGCACTTGACTGCAGATAAACGTGTCTAATATTTCAGATCAATAGCTACATTAAATAAAAGGAACACATCAAAACGGCCAGATTTAATCATTTGTAAGCTTTAATTTCATGAATAAAAAAACAACAATACAATACACAATTATGCCACCTTTAATAAATAACAGTTTTCCCCCCTTCAGAAATCTTCATCTCTCATTTGTTTATGAATTGCAATTTATAAGCTCTTAATGAAAGAGTCCAAAGGAGCTGTTGCCGCTCCTTCGACATAAACAGTGCACATGGATCACACGCAAAAAATAACATGCTTGTTGCTTGACCTTGTCTGGTCTCCCTTCTTCACTCCTCTATTTTCTATATCATACAGTGAAATCTCTGGAAATAACAGTTCTCCCAACACTCTTATTCTCTTACTGAGGGGAAATGTGCATTCAAGGGAAACACAGACTCATGGGAAATGGAGGTATTAGAGGTTTAACATCAGGGATTGGCTGATTGCAATGGCTGAGATATCCAGCAGGGGTCGTTCCTGAGGTGTCTGAAATCATTTTTCTGCTGCTGTTTAACGTGAGATCTTTGCCCCCATGCAGGCGCAGGATCACTGAGCGGACCACGTAACAAACCACAGCACATAAAATAAATAACTGACATCGTCCACAGGCCACATAAAACTTTGTCATCATTGTTTTTGCAATGCCATCATTAATTATAAACTGATTTACCATCTAGTAATTGCACTTGAAACCAGAATTGTCCATTGTACACCTTCATTAAGGTACATTAAGAATCATAACTCTTTTTCCTCTGACAGATGTCAAAGTGAACATTAAATAATACATCTTTTGGAAATGTTACACGAGCAACATACATACTTTTTTCATCAGTTAACCATACGATATATCCATTCTGCATAAAATTAACACTTCATTAACACTTTATTATTTAAATGTTCAGGTAAAGGACTGAGCTGTTAGACAGTTTGTCCCTTTGCATCAACATCATTAAGACCATTTTGTCAAGTGCTGAAAAAAAGAGATTTTACATTTATATGCATCATGTTTGTGATTGTCTTTAAGTTCAGCGCTTGTATAAAATCCAATTAGCTCATAAAAGAGCTTCAATTTTGTGTCGACATGTGAAACCTTAATAAGGCAAACAGGGCCGTAGCCCTGGCTCTGTCCAAGGGCGTCAAAACCTGCTTACCAGCACCTCAAAGCTCATAAATTAACACATTATATCCTGTTTGTTGAATCTGTACAAAAACTGAAGTGTAAAAACAACAATTTGTGCTTTTATGAAGTTTTATGTGCAGGAGTATTTGTTCACAAGCTTGGCTAGCCATTTCCCCCTGCTTCAAGTCTTTATGCTAAGCTACGCTAACGGTCTCTTCGCTTTAGATGACAGCAGTCTCCTCATCAATATCAATGACGTCTTGTTATTTGCACTTTAATAGCTTAAAACTCATAGCATAGTAAATATACATTAGTATATACAGTATAGAGAGCTGGTGCTGTTTTCATCAGCTCATTTTGGCCTCTTTGAGAGTACAAATTTATAAAATAAAATTAAAAAATGTAAGTAATTTTATCTCTCCCTCAGAAAAGACTTAAGTGACCCTGCACTGCACTGAGCCTGTCTGTCGCCCCCAGGGTTGTCTGAGGCCATTAGCACACCTGGTGAGGAATGAGGAGCAGACCTCTGATCAGCGCCGACTGCAGCCTCACTCTTCATTTCTGTCACCAGGCCGGGAGCCGGGCCTCTGTCAACCACTGTCACAACATGATAGGCCCGAAGACTAGGGGGGAAATTCTGTGTCTGTCTGGTCACTTTGTGCTTCCTGTTTATCGTGACAGTGCCTCGTCTGTTTTTACCTGCAGGTGCGTGTGTAGCCGCTCTGAATGACCCACTTTGTACACGTCTGTTGTCAGTTGCTCTGCTGCTACTGTACGGGAAGTGTTTGGGAAAACCTGCAGAGCCCACAGCAAAAGAAGGATGCAGAATTAGGGAGTCCCATACGTCTTTTCTGTAATTGAATCAAACAAGATTAAGATGTTGCAGAGCTAAAGCCACAGTGGGAAATTGACTTTCATTGAATGTAGTCTAATCTGAATACTGTAATGTGGTCAACATGTTTTAAGCTGTCACTCTTCCCTCTGCCAATACTGTTTTCCAGTTACGTCGTTATCGATGCTGGTATTGATCGCAGGCTTTATTTGTGTGTGGTGACAGGAGCGTTTTCACATCGACTGATTGTAGCAAGGGGCTGGGCCTTCATTATAATGAGGCCTTTTTCACTCTATCAAAGCAGGTGGTTTCCAGCTGACCTTGTTCACGTCTGGTGCTAAAGTGTACAAATAATTTATATCACTTATTCACGTCTTTAAATTTCCTGAAAGCCAACGCAGTAGGAGGAGATGAGCTTTATCTTAAACAGCATTTTCCAGTGACAAACTGGTGTGACTAATGAATGTTTTTAACACACATTGCTCTGCATCCACTTCAAGACACATACTGAATATCCCCATATTTATCAACGGGTGACATCTCAAGTACGAGTCACATGACTTGGACTCTAAACACAAATTTGCTGACTTTAAACTTGACAAAAATTTTTAAAAATTGCAATGTGTGTTACAGAACAAATTATGGCTTGTTTAGGACTTAAAACTCAAACTTTAGGACTTCGGACCAGAGTGCAAAGGCTTACTATGACTTGGTCTCACCTCTGCTTTATCAGAACTGCATGTCGGATGGTCGAACAACTTTGGAAAACCCCCACACATTTCCAGTGGTGGATGAAGGGGGGGGGGGGGCGTCTGACAGATTCTGCAACTTTCCTAAAACCGACAACCTGACATTCACACCCACCGCACACTGTGATTACCCAGCTGTGATCTCTCTCTAGCGCTCTCTTCTTTTTTTAAAATCTTGTCACAACTTTTTTTTTGTTGTTGTCACTTTTCATATGAACACTTTGAGTGTTCCAGGAAAAACTGTTTAAAAACGTGTGCCCTTATTCTTATATTTAAACCTTTCTTTTCCCTCTTTACGACGATCACCTTTCAGTGTGTGTGAACAGTTTTCCATTTCTGACGAGGTCGGACAGCACGTTGCACAAACTGGTTCTTTCCAACACTAACTCTGCTGTGGAGAGGTCAAAGGTCATCGACCAGGAGTCAGTGTGCAGTCGGAGAAAGATTCACATCTTGATACCAGAAGCCATCTTTGAACAAAGACAGCATCTCACCCCATGTATGACCAAGTTCCACACTGTTAGGTCACCTGATAACAACCACGTCATCGCCATGACAACTAAACTCCATCCACTGAAGAGGGCCACTAGAGGCTGGAAATGTTGAGAATTTTGATTATGGATTAATCTGCTGATGATCAAATGTTGCATATTCATTTTACTAACATGTATAACAAATAAAGGCAACAAATCCTCACATGTGAAATGCTGAAAAAATTACTAAAACTAGTCTAAAGTTTTTTTTTGTCTAATCGTTGTGTCTCAAATCATACAATTCTGTTTTAGTACTTTAGTTAAGTGTTAGTGAGGTTATGAATATGTGTGGATCATCAGAGACCAAAAAACATTTCAATTTTTATCAAATTAACCTACATGTTAACTCTGTATTTTAGTCATGTAGTGCAAAGATCTAATCACACTACATTGCAAACATATAAAGATTTGATGATGTGGCTTTACCCTACAAGTGCAAATTGTAATCTCATATCAAAATTCTTAGTAACATGACTGAAAGCTTTTCTGTGTTAATTCCATCAATCTCTCTTTACGACAGTGAGATATGTTGTCTACAGCTGTAAGGACTTTCTATTTCTGCTGTGGTTGCTGTTTTACTCAAACACACAAACAGAAAAGGTTGTCCTAGCTGGGTTTAGTTAGATTACTCCAGAACATGTGCTTGCTAAGCCATCTTAACCTCCTGACATTACTTCACTCTGGCCTCCGCACTCAGACAGCCTGCAATGCTCCTCTGCCGCCACCAGTGGGAGCTACACTAAATGTATTGGCCCGGATTGGTGAGAATGCGGTGTGTGAAATGTAATTTCTTCTCAGAATTATCAGGGGAAATGAACGTGAGCATATTGTGAGACTAAGTGTGAATGGCTGAGGGTGAGAAGGAAGAGACGAAGACGGAGACAAGACAGAGCCAAAGAGACAGAGAGAGTGTTTGATGCAGTAAGAACAGACAATCCCTGCAGGCGTCTGTCAGCAAGCAGATATGCAGATCATTTTTTCCCCCCCCAAATCTCCAGATGTTTCAAAGGCTTAAGTCACAGGTCTCTTTGTCTGTTTGGTGTTTATGTGACTCTAGGGCACTGTCCCAGTCACATCCACTTCTGTTCAACACTAACTTTGACAGTAACCTTGAAAGTTCCTCCTGTAATCAGTTGACACTTTGAGAGGAGACTTTATGGACTGTGTGGACTGACGTGACAGTAGATGAGGCTGCAGCAAAAACGGAGACTGTTCCACCTGGCTGGACCGTGTCCATGTGGGCCGTGTGGGAAGACGCCGGGAGACGCTGTGGCGATGTGTGAGGTCTTCAGTGGGTGTAATAGCCATAGTAGTCTGCATCACTGTTGCTGTCCTTCTCGCAGACCTCACCACTGCGCGGAGGCGGGGAGTTTTCCGTGCTAGATGTGTAAGGCGACACCCTCCTCTTCTTGTTGTCCCCCACGCCGCCCTCATACAGGCCTGAGTCAGCCGAGGCCGCTGATTTCACAGAGGGAGGTTCGAGCCAGGGGTCGTCTCCCGCCACCTCCACAGTGTCTTTGGGTTTGTCCTGCAGCAGGGGCGGCTGCAGAGGCTCTAGGAGCGAGGGAGGGTGCAGCCTGGGGTTGCCAGGTGACGTGGAAGAAGATGATGAGGACGAAGAGGACGACATGGGTCTAAACCAGCCCAGACTGGGGCCAGGCTTACTCGGGTGGCTGAGGTACTGAGGGGTGGGTCGGCTGGTGGTCCAGCCCGCTGAGGTGGCTCCTGATACAGACACGCTAGTAGATGCAAAGGGATGGTCTGGGTAGTAGCTGAGGGCATGGTGAGCGGATGTCTGCAATGGGAAGGGCTTGTAGAAGCCGTTTCCGGAGAAGTCACCCTCATAGGAGGAAGTGAAGTCAAGCCGGTTGGGGGCCACGCCCTGCTGAGGGGGAAGGTACCAGCGGCTGTGGGGACCAGGGCTGGAGGACGGGTCCTTGTGCTGCTGGCCCATACCGATAGGCTCGCGGCCGTAGAAGCGGCTCTGGGGCAGGGGGCTCATGTACTGCTCTGGGAGGTAGCCTTGGGGGTAGCAGCTCCCTGGCAGCAGCTGCTGGCTCTCTGTGGGGGAGGGGGTGAGGCGATCAGAGTCGGGAGGAGCGTACAGCCTAGGCAGGAGGAAGGAGGAGGGGAAGAGAAGAGAGTGTGAGAAGAGAAAAAAAAAGAAGGTGTTATTTCCTGCCCAAACCTCAAACTATCTATCAAACATCTCACAGCCCCTCACACCCTTTCACTGCAGCATGCTCGAGCAGCCAGTAATTGCATCTATTACAATATATGAGCACATACCAGCACATATAAGTACCAGCAATGATTCAGTCTCGCATTTCATGGTCAGCCAATGCAAGTGAAGACTGTGCAAGTGCTGTCTCCCTAAAAAACAGATTTACAGTTGTTCTCTCTTTACAAACATATATTTTTTTAATAGATTACTTACGTGTCGTAATTGTCGCGGAAACCTTTAGCGAAGGGGTTATGGTCTATTTTCAGCTGAGTGATCTGTGTAAGGAATAGGAGGAGGGCAATGAGAGAATGTAGGCATAGGAAAAAGAGAAGGAGTGAGCAACCACCAAGAGAAACAAGAGAGCAGAAAGAGAGGAGGCCACTGACTAATAATTAATGAGGATAATATGCAATTTCTGCTCTTGTTGGAAAGAATTTTGAAACAGAAAGTTGGCAACACACACACACACACACACACACACACACACACACACACACACACACACACACACACACACACACACACACATATATAGGGATGGAATAAACATACAAACAGGGAGAGTGTATCTTGCTATGGAATACAGTAACTCTAACACAATGTATTTGAACAGCTGTTAAAGATCTACTATATACGGCACATAGTGGGGAGGACTGAGCCACAGTACTCAGTTCAGCTGAGGTCAGGTGACTCTTAGTTGAACTTAACTACTGTATCGTAATGCTGTGCTTACACTTACAGTGGGAATGTAAATTAGTGCGTGTGAATCTTAGATGCACGCATGCATTAACCAAGGCTTTTTATATGAAACATGGCTCTGACATGAATCATTGAACTCTAGACCTCATTAAGATGCTGTCATAAGAGGTGTTGTTATGGTGCTGGGCCTCATTGTGCAAAGGTTACACTAAATAAGCGTTTAAATGAAATCAAATAAAGTAACAGATCCCTACTTTTTAGTCCAAAATGTGAGAAAAATACGGACTTCAACACATAATTTATAATTTCTTCTCAGTAAGATTTGATTAAAAATAAGAAAACAGAGCTGAGGTTGACCATAATTGACACTTGATGCCATATTTATCATTTCATTCCTCCTGTGATTGATGTGACTTACATCAGCGTTCTGATAAGCAGTGACAGCGATGAACTGAGTCTCCGGGAAGATGAACGTCTGAGTTTTGGATGAAAGGAAGGGATCCTCAGTGCCGTCCTCTTTAACCTCCACGATGTGAAGACGAGGCTGGTACTTATGGAGCGACTGGAGCACGATCATCTGGAGAGAACCACACAGGAAATATGACAGATGAGAGAGAGAATAAAGGTCTTTGGATGGATTGAACCTGGAGATGTTCTTAAAGCTTAATAAATAATCTTAAAACACATATGCAGACATGCACACATGGACGTTTTAGACAGAGAACAGGAAAAGGAACAGTACCTGTGCCACGTTATTGGTGCTCCCCTTGTTGTTGGTGAGCTTGAGTTTGCTGAAAGACACTTCTTGTCTCATCCAGTGAGCTCCTGTGTTTGGGGAGTCGGGATGCATGTACATCCTGTTGCCTGTAAGTACAAAATCACACCATGAGCAACATGTTGTTTACAATTTTGGTCACTTTAAGAAGCATAAATCTAACATCAGGCATATCTGCAAACCTGCGTGTTTATTTGGATGTTATAGATGCAATCAGAGTGCAGTTGGATGAATTTGGTGTTGATATTAACACATGTTTATCAAATGTTTTGGTGAAAAAGAGAGATAAGGAGCTAGCTTTTAACTGCCCCTTTTCCTACATTTATTGCAATAAAAACTTTTTTTTTTGCAGCTGTCTCTTCACAGTGCAAGCAGCATCGACAGCTATAGATATTGTTGATGTTACTGGCTGCTGATATTTAAAAAAAATATATGTGGGAGGGTGAGAAGCTACTGCATATAATAATTTTCCATCATATTTTACCTGGAAACATATGCTTGGTCACTATTTTCTGCTAATGGGGACAATATTGTTTTAATGACTTATATTTGATGCATTCTTATTGCAGGATACAATCTCAGCACCCTGATTTTTCACAGTGTTACCACAATGACCTGCTAACCTTCTGTGAGCACACCACATAAGTGCAATATTAAATCTAATTGAGCAAAGTTGTCACCACAATTTCCACAACTGTAGCACATCAGCAGTCACCTTTCCACAACACCTGGCACATGTGTGACAACACCTTGCAGTTTCTCTCATTTATATAATTGTGGTTAGACTATCATCAATCACACACAAAATGTCATATTGGTTGAGTTGCTATTGTTTTTTTACTGAGGTGTGAACAGGAAGAAATGGAGTACAAGACAGGGATGGGAACAGAAGTGAGAACCAAATTCATGTTCTTTTAAGGACAGCAAACTGGAAATAAAGATAGAAATGTCAAATCCAATGTAAATCCAATATTTCTGTCCATCAATCCAAACAACTCCTTGTAGATAAAAGTGAGTGGTTGAATATAACACTGATATATAACAGTATATGAAGGGAAGGGTGCATTTGGTGACCAGTTATGATGTAATCCATCAAAGTGCTCTGTAAATATAATGGAAATGAATAAATAAAATCAACTATTTACATTTTTTTAGATATTAGATAGTGTAAGGGGATTCAAAAATAATAAAACAATCAAAACGGTGCAAAAATAATGATTACTGGCAATAGAATTGGTTTATAAATGGCTTATTTAGTTCAAGAAATAGGAGTATCCAACTCGTAAAGTACAGTTCAGTGTAGCTAAAAAAACCCAAATCACCAAAATTGGAGATAATGTGGTTTTCATAGGACAGCAGCCATGTGGTGGTTGAAACTGCAGTTGAAACTATTTCGAAATTTCTGTACTGCAAGTCTTTGTTACTAATTGACAAACACAGGGATACCAGTCGGTATACCAATAAGCTAATACTGATTTATCAGTCTAGTTCTAGCTGAAAGCTGATTCTTCATCATACACCATCAACCAAAGTCAACCTTATGAGATGAAGCAGATAACAAAAGACTTTTTAAAGAGGTGGAGTCCTGTAATGCCACATCCTACACTCTCATACTTACATGCCCTACATTTTCTGATAATAATAGATCCCCACCTTCTTATTTTACACCCACGTGCATAATTAATTCCTCCTTTCCCATTTTTCTGTATATTTGTGCAATATATTTGGCTCCTTTGAAATTTGAAAACATAAAAAATTATATAAAATAACAAAAATGTAAAAGTTTAAACAAACCTAAAACAAATATAAATATTGTGTTTGATCAAGCTAATAAAGCAGGTGACACCTTCTTAAGCTTTTTCATTAAACTTCCTACCCAATCAAACTGAATCATTTCTGTTTTGTTCTCACCACCTGCAGAATGAGGCTGCTGATTTCAACAACAGCAAAAGCAACATCAAAATGTCCACAGAAACCTCTCAGGCTACTTGTGCATCATGATGCACTCTTGGTTTCCCTACTGTATGCATGTAGGTTTGCTACAATATTGCTAAATAAACCACTTCCTCAAAATCGTCCATGTTGCATGCACTGAGCTAAACCTTCCAGCTAATTGATTAACCAGAGTTCATACGATCACGTATTTTGTGTCAGAAGTTGTTGTTGGAAGCCCCAAAAAGAAATGTGAGCATGCATTTATCCCTCATTTATGGTTTCTGCTGCAGGTAAGTGTCAGATTTAACAACACGTTACAATTTGGGTGAAGTTTCCTGTAAAAGATTGAGAAATAATTTGCGCAACTTTGCACATATACGGCTCCAAACTGCAGGGACGGGTGGCCGAAAAACAATCAGAATTAAATTCAAGTAATATGATGTTAGTAAACTGCAAACTGCATGCATGTCAAGGGACACCAAAAGGACAAAAGAAAGACCTGCTGTCGGTGAGTAGGAGATACTTTTCAGGTGTAGAAAAAGTACTGTGTCACCAGTTATGCATTTCATTTTTCTAAATACACTTAAATTATGAACAAGTAAAAGAACCCATCATGCAGGATGGCCCATTTCAAAACCAGTAAACAGTATATGATATTATTGGATCTAATTACTGATGCATGAATGTGCTAATCATTTTAATGTTGCAGCTGGTAAAGGTGGAACTAGTTTTAACTATACTGCTGAGTGGATTTATCTATAAAAGTAAATAATTAATGTGTTGATCATATTTAAATAAAATGTAGTGCAGTAAAAAGTACAAGTAAAAGTATTATAATTTTACTCGAACATGTAATGTAGCATAAAAATGGAATAACTCAAGTTTAGTACAAGTACTTAAGTACAGTACTTGAGTAAACATGTATCTGCCCTCTTATCTTTATATAAACAATATGGTTACATTTAGTTTAGTTTAATACTTTAAGGTAATTTCACACTCTCACTTTAGTAATGTTTAAATGTATTTGAATTCTCTGATAGTGGAAATGTTTCCAATCATAAAGACGGCAACCACATAAAAAGACATTTCTTTGTGTTTCATTATGTGGCATGATGTGAAATATACCTGGCATGTTACCCTCCGCTTTCCCACACTGGACCCACTTGCCGCCCTGGTACCTCCAGTGGTGCTGATCAGCCAGGACCACGTCCACGTAGACGTTATAGTGGGCAGACGGATCCAGAACACTGATGTTGAAGCTCAGGAAGGGGAACATCCTCCTGGATAAACACACAGGGAAAGACGAGATTAATCACTGTGAACATATATCTTTATTTTTGGATCTTATAGCTGACATTTGCATGCCTTGACATTTTTAGATTAATGTTTGTGTCAAAAAAATACAATTAAAGTTGGCAGTTGTTAAACTTTGGTTTAAATGAACAAAATAAAAAAATGTGAATATATCTGGACAAAATTTCTCTTGACAAGTGCCAGCAGAAAAATAACAAATGCTCAAAGTGGATATAAAATGCATGTACGACTACTTCCAGGAGGATTTGACCTACTGAGATTGTGCAGTATCTTCTACTGGCATGAAGTATTATTGATGAACATAGGGACTGCAGACTTCTGCCTTGAAAGACAAGCAATGATGAAAGAAATCCAGAGTGCACTAACAAATTATGCAAAGCCAAAGCAATCTATAGTGTCAAATGGTATATTTGTAAGAAAAGTACGCACAAAGAATACATTTATAAGAAAGAATCCATCAGTGCTCTTTCAGGGCAATAGTGTGTGGAACTAAGGCAGGGAGGTGATTCCCATTAGGACCTTGTGACCTCTTCCTGTTTGCCTCTGCTTCACCAGAAGAAGAATCAAGAGTAGGAGTAATGCATGAGAGGTTGAGAGGGACGAGTGTATGTGAATATTTAATGCTGATGTTAATAAAAGATGCCCCAGAAGCTGTTCCTGATTGCTGGAGCTTTACATGATGAACTTATTTGGATCACAGAGGGCTTCAGTGAGACGAGGTGATCAGGAGGTCAGGGCGTCCCCGGGCGCCACGGCCCAGGGACGGTCAAACCAAGAGCAGGAGACGCACACAAATATAAGACACGGACACCAAATGCACACACCACATATATGACAGACAGACACTTCTGACAGTCCACAGTGACATCTTCATGTATAAACTAAACATCCAGAGTGCATGTAATGTTGACAGAGATGCACTTACTGTCTCAGGATAAATAATCCTGCAGAGAAGTTCCCATGTTACAATATACAGAGCAAAGCAACAGTAAACACGTCATCACGTGAATTTTTACAATCGTGACTCATATTTGTCACCTTGTTTGCATGGTTTTTCTTTATGCATCATCTTGCAGTAGTTTGACATTTTGGAAACAAGATGAGAAGAATGTGTGTGATTATGTCTGTACAGTGAACATGAAGCTACAGCTAGAAACCAGTTAGCTTAGCTCTGAATAAAGACTGGAAGCAGAAGTGATCTGGCTTTGTACAAAGGTAAACAAGACACAGAGTCTACCAGCAGCTCTGTGAGGTTGTACTTTGGCACAGTGGTGCTTTGAGCTAAATGCTAACATCGGTATGCTGAAATGCTCACAGTGAAACATGCAGATGTTTGGCAGGTTTTTATCATGTTCATATCTGTGTTGCATGTTAGCATGCAAACATTTGCTTTAGTACTTAAAGCCTCCAGGGAAGGCGACCTGTAGATATTCTAAGGTAGCGAAAACACAACAATTCTTATTTTCGGGTGATTATAAACTAGTGAAAACTAAAAATGTCAACCTCTTGGAGGAGCTAGAGTCACAGGATCACCAAAGTCAGTATGATTTAATGTTCTGGAGCATGAATGTTTATATAAAATCCAATAGTTACTGAGTTGTCTGGACCGAAGTGGTCGACTGACTGACATTACCATCCCATGATAGCAGCATGTTATATCTTGTTTGTTTAATCACCACAAAAACTGAAGTGTGAACAAGTGGTGGTTGTGTGTGTGTGTGTGTGTGTGTGTGTGGGGGGGGGGGTTACTGCACGTGTGCTCAGCCAGAACCAGGGTAGCTGTTTCTCTCTGCTATGCTAAGCTAGACTTACTGTCTCCTAGCTGTAGCTTAATTTGTCACAGAACTTATTCTATAAATAAAAAAACCCTCCACGGTTTCTAAAGGCCAATAAATGACCGACTGGATGAGGACTGATTCATTCACTTAACTCAGTCTATGCTCTTGTATATGCATCTGCACGGCAGTCTGGGTCTATATGAGGTCAGCAGTGTGTAGTTGGTGTTAATAAATGAGGGCAACATGTTTGGCATTTGGCCCAGCTGTTTTACACTGGCTAACAGCACCTGAGGCTATGGAGCATTTGTAATGACGATGCCCTCCATCCCTTTGATTTGTTCAATGTGAAAAGTGAGTGCTATTTCAAATTAGACGTCCTGCCTGGAGTACCGTCTGCAGCACAGCCCCATGTTTTCAAATTCAAGTTGAATAAAAGGATGTTGTTAAAGGGAACCGAATGAGGGCCTTGCCTAAAAATGTTTTTTGTTTCAGGGCAAATGAATTTTAAAGAGATTAGTAGTATGAAAGTGTTTGCTGTTTTTATAGAGTGCATGGCTTAAATTAGTCATTATAAGTGTGCAAAGACTGTACACAAAAAAGAAGAAAAACTTCCTTTTCAGAAACGCCTTCTTCTTTCTTTTCTAAAACGTTTTGGTGTGGGTGGAACAAATAGATAAGATCTAAAGTCTACAGTGTTTGATCACAGCTATAATTACATTATAGTTGACAACGCTCTGGGTCAAAAACAAGAGCTAAACTTATAATTCAGTCTGAAACTTATAAAGTGTGTCCACAAAAGACCACTGTGGTCAACATGTCAGCGCTGCCGTTAAAGTAAACTACAAAAAACTCTACTATCTCGTCTCGTCCGGATGGAAATTTATCTCATTTAAATTCAGTGTGTCCTCCCTGAAGCAGTTCGGCCATTTAGTGGTGTAAAAGCAAGTGAGGTGTGTAAAGAGCCGATGCGATCTGTTAGCAGGCTAACCTGGAGGGCTCTGTCATTGTGTGTGTTGCCTCGATCTGTCTTCATGTTTAAACAGCACAAAGGGCCAATTAAAAATATATTTCTCTAACAAAATGAAGTCATGAATAAGTCAGGATACCTGGTATTATAAACGGTTCATTCTTTATTTCTTAACGAGAGCACATGGTGAGTCTGAGTATCAAACCTCTGTGCCGACTGAAGTACGTCCGTAGTATCAAAAACTGTCACGTATAGAAAGTTGGTATTGATTGTTGGAACAGATTCTTCTTTTATTTACTTCCTGATTTAAATAAAAAGTTTGCCAATTCTTGACTACTTTATTTAGGGTAATGCTCCTTTACTGCTGATGTGTTTAGACAACATTTGAAGGATGATGCAGGTAATTTTTTTTATTTTTTTTAATGTTAACAAATCCCACGACAAGAACAAAACTAACAGTGACTAACAAGTATTGTGTGTGTATCCAAAGCCTGGGATCTTCTTCCTCTGTGCCATAGAGCTCCATTGTTGTCCCAAACACTATTAAAAATACAACAGTGAGCCACACTGTTACACATGACATGTTCCTTCATTACCATGAACACACACACTTGTAGTTTATTCAGACTCAGTCACACACGCACCATCCTGCTGCTCCAAATACTCACTAATGCACCAAATGTGGATTAATCCGCTGCTGGAAATAGTCCCAAACAAATCTGTTTACTCCTGTTTTAAAAGATATAGCCACGACACACAATACCCAGCCTGACACGACCTAAATGCACCAAGATATTAATGCTGCAATATTTTAAAAACACTCATCTTTACCACTATATCTTTGGTTTGAATTGAAGAAATGTTACCATATGTTTGAACTTTGCATGATTTCTTTGAATGTGTATTGCGCATTCTCCTAAAGAAGCTCCACAAGTCAGACTTTTCAAGAATTTATGTAAAAAAAACGTTAAACATATATGCTGGATTGTGTCTTTAAATGACGGCGTTTTATGCTTGTGGACTGAGCACACACACGTACAGTCACACACTCTTTTTACCCTTCAGTGGTAAGACAAAACCCTGCCATGAGCGGTCCCAGTTGGGTCTTTCTGGCTACATGGTGAGTCCAGTTTAACAATCAATCATAGTTCTCTGTGAAACAAAATCATGGCAGCAGCTCTTTAGTGGCTTGCAAAGAACAGGTGATAGGTCTCTTCTTCCACTGCAGAGTCTAATACAAGTGAAAACAGAAACTGTGCTGTTCAGCATATGAATGGATCAACCCACCTACACTGTGTGAGAGTAATCTAGAAAGTAGATGAGTAGTTGCCCCAGTGATATTGTCGATTCACTTATACTAGAGCCTTTTATAGGAAATCAGAACTTGGCAAGAGGGGGAAACCATAGAAAACACAACACAGAGGGGTATTTTCATGAGGAGGCGGCAGTCATGCTTTTTGTACAGAGTTCACCGAGAAAAGCTGAAAAACACAAAACACGTTAGTGTGCATGTATGGGCAGTGTGGTGGCGGTGTGGTAATGGAGCGTACAGTGGTTATGCTGATTTTTGACTACAGTTTGACACATTTTTTATCTTTCTGCCACAAATAAAACAGCTTTTGTTGCATTTTAGAAAATGCATTTGCTGTGCAGTGATACATGCACTTGCTTGGACACCAGGGGAATCAAACCTGCAGCTCTACAGTTACCATACAGACTCCCTAACCAACCTGCCAGTGTGCCAGTCTGATTCACTGGAAACTTGACAGTAATGACAAACGGCTGGTGCTCCCTCAGCCTGATCCAGGTGTATACGCACATGAATACTCATAACTGTATTTTTTCTTCTGACAAAATACCATAGAAACAGATGAGTGTGGTGAACCAGTAATACAGAGACAGTACTGCTGGTGGTGACATTTAAAAAAATCAAAATAAACTGTGTGGATGTTGGGGAGAGATGAAGAAAGGGGTGGGGGTTGGGTAGACAGAGGGCGCGGGAGGGGAAACCGCGGGGGGGAAACGGAGGTTAGAGAAAGGGAAAAGGAAAGAGCAGAGGGTGGAGTGAAGGGAGGGAGGGGTGGAGGGTTTGTCCTGGGGATGCAAGGCAGAGGCTTGAGAAGAGAAAAGGAACTGGATATTCACCAGGGAGAGGACTTTTCTACATGAGTGCACCAACTGATTCATCCGGACAGGAGTTCAGGTCCAGTTTTTGTCACCG